TTACTCCATTCGTCTTGCTGCATTTGTCTCCCTGGCTTTCCCCCTTTCTCAGTAGTTATTTTTGGCCATTGCCCATGGTGGATGCTTCAAAAGATAATGGCAGCTCAGCTGGCTCAGACCAGAGGACCATGTGGCTCAGGACTGTTCCCAGTGGCCCATTCACAAGCAGGATGCGACTGGAATCGCACTTGCCCTCTTGTCTTGCCCAGCATATTGCCTCTGATCCTGCAGGTCATATATAGTCATCACGACTGTGAGCCGCTGATAAATAACCTTATACCGTATTTTTCGCCCTATTGGACGCACCGGCCGGCCCATAGGACGCACCTAGTTTTCATGGGGGGGAAAGCAAGGGAAAAAATATGACACCCCCCCCCGCAGCTCTGGGAGCAGCGGACAGGCTGCACGCAGCCTGTGCGCTACTCCAAGACCTTCTCCCTGCTTTTGTGGGAGGTGGCGGAATTCCCCCACCTCCCGCAAAAGCCCACAGGAGCCGTGCGCGACTCCTACGGGCTTTTCGACCAGGAGGGAGAAGGGACTGAAACGGCCAGTCAGTCCCTTCTCCCTCCTCGGGGAAAAGCCCCCAAGAGCGGCACGCTGTTTAAAGGCTGCGCGGCTCGCCTTCCCGCTGCCCCCCAATCTCTGGGGCTGGCGATGGGGGAAGCGCTGCTTTCCCCACCGCCAGCCTCAAAGCCGGGTCGGAGAGTAGCGGGAAGGCGTCGCTCGCCTTCCCGCTGCCCCCCATCCTCTGGGGCAGGCGATGGGGGAAGCGCTGCTTTCCCCACCGCCAGCCTCAAAGCCAGGTCGGGGAGCAGCGCTAAGGCGTCACGCACCTTCCCGCTGCCCCCCATCCTCTGGGGCTGGCGATGGAGGAGGCGCTGCTTTCCCCCACCGCCAGCCTCAAAGAGCAGACTCTCCTGGCTTCAGCGGAAGCAACGCGAAGCCTCCGGAGTGCAGGCTTCGGAGGCTTCACGTTGCTATCGCTGAAGCCAAGGAGCCTGCATTCACCCCATAAGACGCACACATTTTCCCTTCATTTTTAGAGGGGAAAAAGTGCGTCTTATAGGGCGAAAAATACGGTACTCCATGAATTTGCCTAACTCCATTTAAAGGTGTCCCAAGTTGCAGACCATCACATCTTATAGTACATAGCTGTCAACGTTTCCCTTTTTTAAAGGGAATAGGATTCCTCGCAAGAAAAGGGAAAAGTTGACACCTATGCATAGTAGCAGATTCCATAGCTGAACCATGCACTGTGTGAAGTATCTTTCTATTGTCTGTCCTGAACATCCCATCCGTAAAGGTTGATTGGATGATCCTGGGTTCTGGTATTATGAGGGAGAAAAATTCTATCCACGCCATGCAACTCTTGACATGCCTCCCCACTTACTCGTCATTCATCTAAACTGAAAAATCTCCAAACGTTGCAGCCTTCTCTTGAAGAGTAGTTGCTCCAACCCTCTCCATCATTGTGGTTGTTCTTTCCCGCACCTTTTCCAGCTCCAGCACTCCTTTGGATAGGCAGCAAACAGAACCGTACGCACCACAGGCTTGTTCAAATTCATTACGATTACGGGCGGTTTTCCAGTTTTCTTTCCAGGTCAGCCACCACCAGTTCAAACGCCCATCAGTTCCCATGAGAAGTTGGATATTCCGTCCCAATGTGCATCACCTTACACTTAATTATATTGAACCACATTTATCATTTAAAAAACTTATTCGTCCTGTTTGGAGATATCATTTAGGAGCTCCCTCGTGACCCCTTTTTGTTTTTGGAAGTCCATCACCAATCTTGGCACACTTGTTTCCAGATCGTTTATGAACAAGTTAAAAATAAGTCTTGATACAGATCTTTTGAGACCCTACTTTCTATCTCTCTCAATTTTTGTGACTGTCTACTTCTGTTCTTTAATTAGTTTACCAATCCATAAGAGTGCCTGTCTTATTATCCCAGGACCAATAAGTTTATTCAGATATTTTCAATGAGGAACTTTTATCAAATGTTCAAGTACATAATGTGTGTTGGGTCACCCCTGTCCACATGCTTATTGAAACTCTCAAAGAAACATCAGTAAGACAGGACTTATCTTTGCAGAAGCTATGTTGATTTTTCTTTCAGAAATACTCGTTCTTTGGTATGCTTGGTAATTTTATCTTTAATAATGCTTTCCATCAATTTACCCGGAACAGACATTAAGCTAACAGGCCTGTAATTTTCTGGATCCCCTTTGGATCCTTTTAAAAATGGATGTTATGTTGGCCACTTTCCAGTACCCGGATATGAATGCTGATCCTGGAGGCAAGCTAGGTATTTTTTGTTAGAAGATCAGCACTTCCACATTTTTTAGAATTCTTGATGGAATGCCATCTGGAACTGGTGATTTGTTAAAATGTTTAATTTGTAAATAAGCCTGGAACTTCATCTCTTCTCACCACTGTTCATCTTTACTGTGAGATACGCAGGGCAGATATCTATGCCTGAATTTATAATTTCTGGAAGTTTGAAGAACTAAGGTAGGAATTCAGGTAGGAAGGCAAGGAATTCACTCACCTGTTATGCAATCTGTGTTCTCTCCTTAGCATACCTTTCGTTTTCTTGTCATTCAATGGTCCAGCTTGCCTCCCTACCCATGAATTATAATGTAAATATTCCTTAAACTGATACTGTTAAAAGTTTTTAGTGACAGGCTCCTCAAATTCATTTTCTTCATTCCTGTCACTGGCATTTCATAGGCCCAATTTTGTTTTCATTTGGGCAAGACTTCAGTTTTCTGAAGGACCCCTTCTTATATCTTCAATAGCTTCCTTGACTCTGCTCATTAACCATGCAGGCATTCTCTTGGACTTGGTAACTTTCCTGAGCTGTGCCTATCTTAGCAGAGCTTTTACAGATAGCCATTTTATTTTCTCACCATGCCCCAGGTGTTGCATTATTCTGGTGTGTTGGAGGGTTAAAAGTGACTCATGCCACTATTTTTGTTTTTTATTTGATTTTTTAAGATGGCAACCATTGGTTCCTCACAAAGTCAAGGGATACTGCAGTTTCTGGGGCATGGTGAGTAAATATATGGATGGTGGCCTTGAACAGCCACAAAAAGAAAATGATTTGATCTTCTGTGCCTTTTAGTAATACAGTAATGGAATTGGACCCATGGAGCTCTGTTTGGCTCAGTTTTTTGTTTTTTACAGTAGGTGTGTAATCATTTTGGAATATAGCAGCGGTAAGGCTCTCCTGAAACCAATGGGCAGTTAGATAATCTGTCTGTAAACCCTGATGTGGAAAAAAAATCCCCAAATGTCTAGAACTGGCTTTGGTCATATTTATCTGAGCCCAATATCTGCCCCCTTGGGGAGAAAAGCCCAGAATGTTACAGTTTGAACTATTTTTTCCTCAGTTCTTCTCTTTTATAAAGCATCTAAGGTGGCAAGCATGCCATGGAGAACAGAGAACGATGAAGGTTCTTGAGTAGCCAGGATGATCCAGAAAGTACATAAATTATGTGATCTTCTAAAATACAGATTTGCTCTGGAGATTATTGGTTGCCCCTCGTCCGGCCAGAAATGAATAAAACCTGGGAGGGAGGACATGGCTGCTGCAGCAAATTTCAGCTCTGCTTACTTTCACAGGAACTTTCCATTTCACATGCACAGCTTCTTCCAGAGCTCTATCTAGCACTTGGTGCAGGCTCTATGCCCTCCACTTATGGAGACAACTTGCACAGGATCGTTTGCAGAATAACTGGAAGCTTAAGTCTAGCAGAAGATCTATACAAAGCTCTGGCTCCTGACCCCCTTATCCCATGATCCCGATGCATGACATGTGACTCACTGCACTGAAAAGAACACATTGAAAATATAGATATAGTTACATTAGCAGTCCCCTCAGGAGCTCAGTTTACCTCTCTCTTTTTTGGGATCTCTCCTTGGACTGCAAAAAAAAAAAAAAGGTTGTCAAGCATCTGTCACAGAACTTGTGGGATGCAGCCAGCTTGCTGAGGCATAGGTTGTGCACTATCTAGCCTATCCCATATTGCAAGCAGCAGCCATAAAACTCTCCGGGCTTTGTTTTGCACATCTTAACTTCACTGTAAAATTCATCTGCTAGTATAGTGTCCAGCTACTTTGGTTGGAAGGGTTCTCTCTAATTATTTTCTGGCGGAATGTTGCCCTTATAATTTCATGTAAGATTACTGAAATATCGCAAGTGCCGTTTGTTCTCTAACCCATAGTGTCTGTTGCAAGGGCTGCTCAAACAGGAACATGTCAACTCGATAATATCTATAGATCTGTGCAGGTAGGCATAAGCCAAAGTACATTCAGCTCCCATGAGAGTGACAGCTTCTGCTAAATGGTGTAATAAATCAGGTACCTGCATCCGTTGTACAAGTCCCATTGAAAAGAATGAGATTTGCCCATGAGTAGATGCATGTGATGGGCCTGTCCCATTCATTCATGCAGCGGGGCTTGCACACAAAGCTCCTTTAATGAAATTATACCTTATGTGAAAGGGTCAAGTGTCCAAAGAAGTCACAGGTAAGCTGTCTTATACAGTACCGAGACAGAGCGTTGGTTCATCCAGCTCAGTTTGGACTACAGTGGTACCTCAGGTTACATACGCTTCAGGTTATAGACTCCGCTAACCCAGAAATAGTACCTCAGGTTGAGAACTTTGCTTCAGGATGAGAACAGAAATTGTGCTCCGGCAGCATGGCAGCAATGGGACGCCCCATTAGCTAAAGTGGTGCTTCAGGTTAAGAACAGTTTCAGGTTAAGAACGGACCTCCGGAACGAATTAAGTACTTAACCTGAGGTACCACTGTACACGGATGGAGAGCAGATAGCCAGGATTTCTGATGAAGTTTCCCCAGCCTTAGCTGGAGATGCCAAGGAACGGACATTGGATCTTTTCCTTGCAAGGCCGCGTGTGTTGCTTTACAGCTAAGCTACAGACCGAAACCAAAGCTAGGAATATCCCCAACCCCGAGATACAGAGACCAGAATACTAGATCCTGATTTTATAATAATATATATAATCTTCTCTTTAACAGGAGCATATTAACATCCGCAGACATTGTCAGAATAATTATCATTAGAATAACAATAATAATAATAATTAATAATAATAATAAAAAAGGGTAGGAGGGGACGGGTGAGGGGAGTCTATAGTACACAGTCTTGTGAGGTCAGCGTAGCCTTTCGGAGCCTGCGCTGCCGCGGCCTTCAAGTGCCCCCTTCTGTATTTACACGCTTGCCTGGCATCCGCGCCCCCAGCTAAGCTGGAGGGAAAACAGTGCATCGAACACAAAATAAAACCCATCAAATAGCCCCCTTACCCTCCCACCCCCGTAAAACCTGCCTCTTTTTTTTTTTGTCTCGTTTGCTTCTTTTTCCATAAAACTTCCTGTCAGAAATACACTATTTACACACGAAATAAATAGAGCGGTAACCTGATTTGTGTTTGGCCTGCGGCAAACAGTCAGAGGTACTAGGGAAAGTATGGCTTGGATTCAAATCTGTACAGAGCCGTTTGGGGAGCCGGGATCAGCCTGCAACCCCGGGGCATGGCAAAGCCGGGAACCTTGCATATTTCAGGGCCTTGCATCCAACGGGCAGGAAACGGTGAGAGGAGACGGGCCCCCTTGCCACTGTCCCTTGGCCCTCCTGTCCACACCCCCACCCCGCCAGCCGTTTTCCGGCCCTGGAGCAGTGGTTGCATCCCGCAGTCTCAGCATAAGATGGGCACGCCGTCTGCAGTCACGAGCCGGCCTGTGGTGGGGTCGTAGCTCCCTGCCAGGTAGTAGAGGTCTTGACGGTCCTGGTATTTCTTGCTGCGCGTCAGCTGCTCGTAGTGTTCACGTTCTACCACCTGGCATTTGTGCGAGATGGTTTGGACGTCGTTCTCGTCCTCGTGGCACGACTGGTACAGCGCGTTCTGCAAGAAGGCCACATGTCAAAATATTGCACCCCGGCCTTGTGTTTTTTTTGCAAACCAGAGGACCGAGGCGCTGACCCCAGGACCAAGTCCTCTGCAAGAATTGTTGCTTGCCAGTCTGCAAGCACCCAACATTGTGGGAATTCAATCACATTTCAGCTCAAAGCAACAAGAGATATGGAAAGCTAGGGTGCACACATTCCGGAAATCTCCCTCCCAGTGTGGTAGCGTCAGCCAATTAGATTACAGTACTACCTTGGTTCTCGAACAGTCATACCTCGGGTTACAGATGCTTCAGGTTTCGCGTTTTTGGGATACAGACGTGCCGAAACCTGGAAGTACTGGAATGGGTTACTTCCAGGTTTCGGCTTCTGTGCATGCGCAGAAGCAGCAAATTGCCACAGGCGCAGCGCTGCGGGTTGCGAACGTGCCTCCCGCATGGATTACGTTTGCAACCCGAGCGTCCACTGTAATCCATTCCGGTAGTCCATTCAACTCCCGAAACTGTTTGAAAACCAAGGCACAGCTTCCAATTGGCCGCAGGAGCTTCCTGCACTCAAGCGGAAGCCGCATCAGATGTTCGGCTTCTGAAAAATGTTCACAAACCGGAACACTTACTTCCGGGTTTGTGGCGTTCGGGAGCCAATTTATTCGACACCTAAGCTGTCCGAGAACCAAGGTACCACCGTATGGGGCAAGTTCAACCAGCCTTCCCAGAGCTTGCTGGCCCTCCACTCCTGGCTGCACATGGGATAGCACGTGATCTCCCAGTGGATCCCAAACTACCAGCAGTCCATCCTTACTTTAGTTCAGAGCATGCTTTGTGTTGCTTTGTATAACTGTACAGTTGGCAGGGGCCACAAGCGTCATATAACCAGAACCCTCTGCAATGCAACTATCTTTTGCCCAACATGGGGCTCGAACCCACGGCCCGAGATCAAGAGTTTTTACACTCTTACCAACTGAGCCATCCCAGGTAGTACTAGTTCAGCCACACCCTGTGCCTGCCTCACCCTCCTTCCCCCCACCTAACTCTCGCTCCCAAAGTTCGCTCCCAGCACTTTCTGGCCTCTCACCTTGCCATCGCTATGTCGCTTGCCCAGCTTGGTCTCCTCAGGATGGTAGAACCACTTTACTTTGACAACCATGTTGCTGCCCCAGGATTCCCACATGCTCTCGATGCGGCCGATGTACGGCAGATGGGGTCGCCCGGCTGACAGGAAGACAGCACAGTCACCGATGCGCAGAGTCTCCTTGCCCCGTACAATTGCCTTGTAGAACAATTTCCGTGCTTTCCCCTTCATGCCACGACGCTGCAGGGAAGGGCAGAGCATGCTAAGGCACAGTAAACAGGGGCCTGCCTGTCGCATAGGGTCCCCATCACCACCCCGCCTTCCTACAGGCCCTGGTGGGGTTCTGCCTCCTACGGGATTCTGACTGTTGCCATGGAAACAAAGCCCTGCACGTCAACAGCAGAAGATGCCCTCTGCAGCCTGTAGCAACGGAGCATAAGTGAGGGGCCCACTCTGGATCAAAAGCAAGCTTGGCTTTAGCAAGAATCCCTGGGAGAGGATAATCAACATCAAAAAACCCAATGGGGTTGTCAGGTGCCTTTTTATGTCCTGCGAGGTACGGGTGCCCAGAAGGACTGTATTGACATGGAATGCAGCCTAGGGACAAGACACACAGAACATGGCTGGTGCCTCACAGGGAGCAAGATAACCGAGTGCGTGGAAGAGAAGCAGCTCGTTCCCACTGTACCCACCAGAGCTTAAATGCAGACCCAGCCCACGCCTCAAGAGAAAACTGGCTCCCACTAGCCACTCACAGGAGGCTGCTAACCGTTATGAAACCTCGGCCGTGTTCCCACAAATGCAGAAGCGCTTACAAAAAATTGGCCACTATTGCAGATTTCCTGTGTGAAGTATCTGGGACAACTGAATGCAAGTTAGTAAAGACAGTGATCCCTCGCCAACCCGGAGGATTTGGTGACCGCTGATGCACAGCAGCGAACACCAGTCTAATCTCTGTGGGGCTCAGGAAAGCCCCAAAGGCTGTTTTGCAGCCCAGTTCTGAGCCTGTCTATGTGGTTAAGTGTTTACTTGGATGTACATCTGAGCAAAGTGTGCCCGAGATGGGCAGCACAAGCATCCTAATTCATTAACCTGAGGCTGAAGTGTAAAAACAGGAATTCATGGCTCTTTTATCACACAAAAAGAGAGAAAGGGAACTTGGGTCTTTCCGCCAGGTCAGTTACAGGAAGGCAGTATGAAGAGCGGAGAAGGAAGCCTCCCAAGCTTAGCCTATCCTCCTGTTGAAAGGCACAGAAAGACTTATGAACCGCTTCCTCCTACCATTTCCTTCCAGCTCTGTCACAATAGCTCTTGCAAAACAAAACCCCATTGATACAGTTTTAACAACCAGACAAAGCAGATTCAAAACCGTTTCCCTTAATTTGCATACTATAGTACAATCGCACCATATGGCATAGAATATTTTATATATGAGAATATGAGCAATGTTCTAAAAAGCTCCGATGGACTGGCATCCATTTCCCATACCTGAGTGGGGTTCCCAGACCACTTCCAGAGCTGGCGTGCTGGCAGGAAAGCAGAGATCTTTGGCCGGTTTTCCACCGAGGGCAGCCTCTGCCGGCGGGAGAACTCTTTGGCTTTGGAGAAGCTCAGGGCCTCCTTGCGCCTGAGCTTGCCCTTGGCCCCAGCGCCAAAGCACCTCTGCAGGGTGCTGCCCTTGGAGCGCAGGGCTTCGGACTGAGCCAGCAGGGCTGGGACAGGGTGCGTCAGGCAGGTCTGCACAAGCAAGGTCGAGTCCTCGTCATCGGAACTATAGGACGAGTCATTGTCGGATGAGCAGAGGCTGGACGTGGAGCCCGAGCCCGAGCTGGAGGAGGTGGACGATCCGGAGGACGAGGAGGAGACGGAAAGACGTGTCAGGAAGCGGGAGGGGACACTTCCTCTCAGGTCGTCCACCTCATCTTCATCCATGTCTGAGTAGGAGCTGTGACAGTCGCTGTCGCAGTGCAGACCGTACTCCGTTTGACCCGTGTACTTGCGCAGCGCCAGCCCCATGGGCAGCGATGCGCTCTTCTTCTCCTTGATCCCCAAGGCTGGGTGAGCGTAGCCGTGGCCGGGCAGCGAGCCAAAGTCCTTGTCGTTCATCAGCAAGGCCTTGCAGTTTTTGTTCTTGGGCGACGTCACGCCCTCGTGGTCCAGCTTGACCAGGTACTCGCCGCCCATTTTCCGGCGCCCTCCCTTGCCCATCTCGACGTCCAACCGCTCGGCCTTCTTGGCACGCAAAAGCTTCTGGGTGCACGGCAGAACCAGGCCGGCGCTTCCAAAAGCCGAGTAGGAGTTGGCAATGCGGCTGAACGAGTCTGAGCCAAAGCCGTTGCCAAAAATGGGGGCAGCCACGCTGTGCACGGGGAAGAGCACCTCCTTGGCCCGCAGCTTCTTGCTGCTGCCGTTGAGCTGGAAGAGGTTCTGCCGCATCGCTGTGCTCTTGCTGGAGGTCTTGCGCTTGTTCTGAGCCACAGCTGACCAGCTCAGCAGAGGGCTGGCACGGCGGCCCAGGAAGTGATCTCCAGGCAGGGCTTTTGAACTTGGGTGCAGCAGGTCAGATTTACCTGGTAGGAAAGGACAGGGTTAAAGAAATACTGGTGGGGGCTGCCAACTGCGCTAAGAAACTGCGTTTAATCTTCCTATGTCCTTCCCCCATGCAACTGCTTTCATTTATTCTTGCCAGGGCCTGGTCAGATGGGTTGAGCTGATAAGGACTACAGTAGACCCTTGGGTTACGTTACTCTTGAGTAACGTAAACTTCGGGTTGTGAAAGTGGCAAACCAGGAAGTATTTTTCCAGGTTTCACAGCATGCGCACAGCGCTCTATTGTGGTGGATTTTTTGAGGTGCACATGGACCCTCGGAACAAATTAAATTTGTATCCAGAGGGTCCACTGTATCCTCTTATGTATGCTTTAAAAAAAAGCAGTCCAGAAAGGGTGGGGAATGAAATGGGTGTTTAAAAAAGTAGATACTAAATAGGTAGCAATCACAGTTAGATGAGCGCCACAGATCCTGCAAGTGTCTGACTCGGACACTGTCAAAGTATTTCTGCAGAATGGCAAAAGGCAGGAAGTAGCAGCTCTCACTGTTCATTCCCTTCTCCCTCCCCAGGAATCCATGACACAGCCCACCAGCAGCCCTTGACTTGCACACCATTCTCATTTGGCAGAAGAAATGCTGAGAGACAGAGTGAAGCCAAAAGAAGGGCTCTGCTTGTTAGGATCTCCCACGTGTCCAGTGTAGGATGCATTGACCTCACTTCTTTTTGCCCTTAGTGACATCAATATATAGGCACAAAATTACGTTGTCCCTTGGAGTATATTGTCCCTGAGTGGCTGGGATCTCCTGAGGAGGAATGAAATGGAGGGGGGACCGAGGACAGAAGGCAACTGAAGCAGCAGCGATGGTGGTGGTGTCTTCGAATAGTGATGAACAACCATGAAAAAGGTTGGATTTGGGGCAATTGCAGTCTAAAGAAGAGTAAAATGTTTGGTACAGAGTTCAGAGTTCACCGGGTTTTGTTTATAACTCTATTATATCTTGGTCTATCTCCCTTTCTTGGTGTTCCACCCCCAACTGATGTCCATCAACGCTTTGTCAGGGTTCAGGCTGCTCTTTCCATAACTCAGATGGCCTTCTTTTTTTGCAGGTAGGGGTCCAAGTACTTCTGGATTACATAATGGACCTGGAGCATGCATATATATATATATATATATATATATATATATATATATATATTTACATGATCTGTGGTGTTTTATGCATTGTGACTTTGCTGTTAATTTTTATTGATTACAGTCCAGTAATGATTTGTTGTGGTTTTTGAGGTGTGATTTTCTGTTTAATTATTATTTGCTGTTACGTTAAGGGTTCATTTTATTGTGCAATATTGTATTTGAAACAGATTATTGACTATTGCATTAAGCGTCTTATTTTTAGTCATATTTTTCATTATGAGTTGCATTGGATCAGATTGTTAATAGGACGTGTGATCTTTGTTGCATATTTTATCATTTCTATGGCTTGTAAACTGCCTTGTGTGTAACAATGTAGAAAGGCGGTGTACATATTAAAAAGGAAGTTTCTGTTCTGCTGCAAAGTTTTACTGGGTAGCCCTTGGGCAAGTCACCCTCTCCGCCTAATCCCTCTCACAGGGTTTTGTGTGAGGATAAAAAGCAAGACAGACACAGGACCTTTGAGCGCCTTTCTAATGAAAGGCAAGCAATGGAGAATTGGCTTACCAGCTTTTTCTTTGCTCGTTGCCTTCTTGCCGGTGCTTTTGGCTGACTCTGAGCTCTCCCGCCCCTCAGCACACAGGCTTGGTGCAGATTCACTGGAATGGGGAACATCACTGGAAGACCTCTTGTTGCGACGGCAGAAGGTGGAAACCAAGAGTGCAGGAGAAGGCTCTGTGCCTGTAGCAGAGAGGGGAGAGTTAGAAATCTCAAGGACAGATGCAGGTGAAAACTCTCTAAGGGTGCCTCCTGAGTTCATAGGTTGGTGGCCCATCTGAATTTGCCTCTGTGGCAATATTCATCTCCCGCTCTTCACGGCCATGTGCAGGCTGGCAAGATCCCAGAAAGATCCTGCGCCCAGAAAGCGCAGGACGTTCTTGGATGCCCAAAGGGAATAGCCACTGTACCCAGAGCTGCGGGGAGTTTTATAACCAACCCAGCACAAGGTGCAGTGAAGCTGCACCCAAGGCGCAGATTGCAGCAAGGAAATTGCTCCTTAGCAAAAGCCCCAACATGGATGAAGCTCTGCATTACAACCTCTGCAGGTTTGGATCTGCCGAGGCAAAACAAAACACGGAAGCGCATCAGGTACAACTGACCCTGCCTTCCTCCCATCCAAGGATGCTTACACTGGATTTTGAAATCGGGTGGCAACATGCGGATATTAGACACTGCAATGTGGCCTGTGTCCCCATCGTCGAATTCTACCAGCACCGAGTCTGCATCATCCTCTTCATCGCTTGAGGAACCTGTGGGACAGAATCTGTGTTAACTTTGGGGACAGACAAACACACGCGCACATCTCAAGCCAACTCTCCACCCTTTTCTGGACCAGGGACCTGGTTGCTCGCTGCATGCTTGACTCTTCCCCACCTTGGGGTCTCTATTGGCCAGCCCCTCTCACCTCGAATGACATTCCCTGGGTAGAGGCAGCGGGACTTCTGGCTCCAGTAAGCACAGACTCGGGTGCCAGGTGGGAGGCTGTGACTTGACTGTGGCCGCACATCCAGAACCTGGGAAGAAACAAAAGGTCGTGGTTGGCAGGTTCTCTTAGCAGTAGTGTTGCTGCCACTACTGCCTAGCCAAGGGCAATGCTTCACGTTGTATATCATAGAGTGACTGTCAAGGAGAAGATGGAACAAGCTTGGCAGAACTGGGTGTGTGGCGAGGCTCTAGTATTCAGGCACCTGCATTCCATGCCTTGCATGGCTATCTGCTCATCTGCCATGGTCTCCACTCACGTTCTCTTTCCTCGCATTCTGCCTAGACACCACTGAATGCTGCCCTTTCCCTCTAACTTTTACAAAGCTCCTTACTTTCCAAACACTCCAAAGATTTGGTTTGGAAAAACCAAAGTTGCTAACGGCAGACAAACCGCAGAATCAGTAACTGGGCATATTATTGATTTGATTAGCACAGTTTATTAACACTGAGCTGATGTTTCCTTAGTGTCAGAACTGCTTGGATTCTAAAAGTCTGCACCAAGTGTGATGAATATGTCTTAGTACAACACAAGCATCAGCTAAGGCTGTCTCCTCACTGGGGGATGGGAAAACAGCACTATCAAAATGAACAGCAGCTTTTCATACATCCTGTTGGGCACTGTGATGCGCAGCTGGGAAGAAAGGGAGGTATTCTGTCCCCCAGAGCATTTGAAAGCAAGAAGCCAGGTGTGGCTACAAACTCTATGCTAGCCTCACAATACCGGTTGGTGGAAGATCAACATTGAAGCTAGGCTGACCATGACAAATCCTGTGCACTGTGCAAGTGCATCTAATCCCTCCCAGTTAGCATTGTCCTGTGTTATCTTTATAGATCGCCTTTTGGCCCTAAAGTCCCCAAAGCAATGAAAAGAATCATGTAGACATGCCCTTGCCTGAATGCATCTTACCCTTCGCCCTACAACCACGCTATCTCAGGCCCTGGTACCCAGAAGACATGCACCTCCTGAGTGTGCCTTGCTTGCCTCAGCAAAAAATGCTTCTCTCCATCGTGCTGTGCCAGCTTGCGCTTTGCACATTGGCACAGGGGAGCGGCACTCTCTGCTCCCTGCCTCACAGGTAAATCCCAGATTCATGAATGCACCACTTGCTGTTGCTCCCAGTTGCATTCACAGCCCAGCTTCTCCGCCCCCAATTGCCTAAGCAGGCCTGATTAATCCCAGGCCATGATCTGCAGGGACTCACCGCCTCCTGCAGCAGCTGCTCCTGGGAATAGATCCTCTGCCGGTTCCCTCGCTCTCCCTCAATGACGATGCTGTAGCTACGGGAGGGACAAATCAATGGCAGAGATTTATACAGCTGGAGATGTGAAAGGCTGGAAAAGAACTCTGCTTGGCTCATTTTGACAAGATGTGAAATGGGACATTCAATCCTCGGTTTGCAGGGGAGGGAACAGAGCGCTGATGCTCGCTGCTCAGTCCACAGGTCCATATAAGTAGGAGGCAAAGAGCACTCGGTGCTCAATTTAGGGACAGGAATGGTGCTAAAAGCTTGGTTCAGGAATGGAGGAAAAACATGCTACAGGGATAGACAGCGCAACCCGATAGTATAATTACTCAGAAGTAAGCCTTACCTCACAGGTAAGGAAACACAGGAGTGGCAGGCCAATGCTTTTATGGAGCACATTTTAAAATTAGCAATTTTAATGGAGGGCAGGTGGCTATTACTCTTATTCTGCAGACAGGTAAAAGCTTGCCCAAGACCATACCAGAAACTTATGATAGAAGGGGCCTCTGAACTTTCACATCCATCTGTTCTCTGCACCACAGAGGCTACGGTGTACTTTTTTGTTCAGAGCAGCGGAGGGAAAGCATTGGCTTTGCATTGCCAAGTATCAGGATGGATATCACCTGCCACTCTGTTTGCGGGTAAGGAAGATAGGGCCACGATACTGAATTGAGGTCATGTGAACATTGCAGCATGTTGCCTTGGGCGAGGGTGCTGGTATTACTTTAAAGCAGAGATGGGGAAACTTGTAGTCCAGCAACATCTGGAGGGCCACCACACCTATCATCTCTGACCACTGGCCAAGCTGGTTGGGTCTCATGGAGCGGCAGTCCCACAACATCTATAAGGCCATGGTTTTCCCATCCCTCCCTTTAAAGCAGCGTTTCCCCAAACTTGGGTCTCCAGCTCTTTTTGGACTGCAACTCCCATCATCCCTAGCTAGCAAGACCAGTGTTCAGGGATGATGGGAATTGTAGTCCAAAACAGCTGTAAACCCAAGTTTGGGAAACCCTGCTTTAATGGAAAGGGTATTAAAGGGACTGTAACTGTCTGCAGGCACAAAGGAGGAAGGAAGCCCCGAAGAGCAGAGGAAAGGAACTGCCTGCCCCCTTAAATATCGCCGTGCTGCCATTTGTTCTTTGCAAGAAACGCCGAGCCCTCTCTTCTTGCATCTCTTGCCCATGTTTGTGCCTGGGAAAATGGGGGTTCTTACATGTCTGGTGGCTGCAAACTCTTCACACTCCCGGCGTAGAGCAGGCTGTCCTCTTTGGGAATGAGCACGCGCAGTCCATCCTGGAGATCCTCCTTGTGAATGGTGCATGACTGGGCTGCAGCCAAACAAGGCAGAGCAAGGCATGAATCCACAGCTCACACTGCTCCCCCATTCCTTTAAACCAGCATACTTCTCAACTATATATATAGTTTGGAATCTGCCTCCACAATATGACAAAAGTTATTATTAAAAAGGAATATCCAGCTGGCCAGCAAGCACCTTCATTTAAGACCTGCAGCTCTTAAGACTGCATCTCTTGCAGCAAGTACACAGCAGAGGGTGGGCTTGCAGACTCGTTAACAAACTTCATTACCGCAGCTCTTGGGGGATGTTTCCCCAGCCTCGTCCACATGTGGAGACTGGAGCAGAGCCAAGAAATGCACCCAGTGGTGTGGGCTCCAATACCCGGCATCATCCCAGAGCTGCTCAGCAGAATCCTTTCTGCACCTCCCAGCGACCCACTGCAGCAGTCTTGCTCTGCACCCCTGTCTGCCCCGTCTCAAGATTTCGCTTCAGCAGCAGCTTATGGACCACCACCACCCTCCACCTCGAATACGTTTTCCTCCTTTCGTCTGCCTTTGCTCTTGTCCAATGATCTGTGTGGTTCACACACATGCAGAGAGAGAGAGACTCTACTGGCCCCTGCTTCCACCCCCAGCAACAGAATGCTAAACTGTGAGGGAGCGCCAAAACTCACTGGGGGCCATGTCTTGCTCCGTACCAGTGGAGGGCATCTCCTCCTCTTCAGAGAAGCTGCTGTTATCATCAAACTCAAAGTGATCTTCAATGGCGAAGCTCTCCATCAGCCGGCTGACCGCCCGGCCTTTGCACTGGAAAAGCCAAGGAGAAAATGTATCACACGTGACAAACTGTGTCTGTGCCCAAAGCGCGAAGGGTCTCCTAAATCCCGAATCGATAGTGAAACCTCTGCACCACCCTGACCTTTGCCAGGTGGGGGGGCCATTTCCCACTGGAAGAGTTCTCAGGGCAGCCAGAGGAGCTCCCACCCAGCAAATACAGTAGCAAGGCAGATCTGAGCCATCAGCTCCTCCTGGGAAGAAAATGGTGGCGGCCATAGGACCCTTAGGAGGGGGTAAGCGGTGCTGACCTACCCATGCCCTGCATTGCAGGAGGTGGCGGCCGTTTCCTACCTGCTTGCTGACCACTTTGTTCTTGACCTTGGCCAGCTTCTTGCCTTTGCTGAGGATGGCCTTGGCATTGCGGGGAGAGAGTGCCAGTGCCCCATTCTTTCTCTGCCAAGAGGGAGGGAGGGAGGAGAAAATGGGGTTAGGCAAAAGGCTAGCCAACAGAAATCTTTGGGCAAAGGAGCAGACCCTCCTCCTTTCTCTTTTTTATTAAAAAAATAATGATTTTATTTATAAATTTTTAATTAAAAAAAAACCATTTCAACAACATTTCTAGTTTAACAATCTCTTCATCTACAACTTTCCCTCCCTCCATGGTTCCCCCCCAAATTTCAATTTAGGCTGCATATTATTGTTATTTTATACCTTTGCCTTATCACAAAAGAAAAACAGAAAGTTCACCCCCCACTGCTGCCCTTATTCAAATCCTACTTAGTTTTTAAGTATTCTGCAAACATTTCCCAATCTTCTTTAAAACTGGCCTCTTTCTGATCTCCAATTCTACGCGTCAATCCTGCCAATTCTAAGACCCACCCCTTCCCTCAGTGCCTCATACCTAGACGGGGCCAGTCTGTTTGGCAAAAACACCCCGCCCCCGTTGCATCCAGCTCGCTCCAGCCCATTGGGTCCCACCTTCCTTCCAGGGACAGTGCTCCTGGCAGCCCCCCCCCCACTCCCTTGAGGAACACCTCCAGTCTGGCCTCTTTGCGCGCCTGCTCACCCTGAGGGCCGACTGCAGCACCTTGCTCTTCCGCGTGGCTTTCTTGAGGCGTTCACTGTTGAGCTTTCCTGCGTCATCCCGGGTTGCAAACAGTCGGGCTTGGCTGCCAGAGAAGAGCCCCTCGTTCGCGGCCGATGTCCCAGGCCCGCACTGCAGCTCCTTGGCCTTGCTCTTCAACTTCTTCTTGTTGGAAGCCTCGCAAGATGCTGCCCGGCAGACGGGCACCTTTTCCAGCCTCCCTACTCCGGGCTTCACCGGGCGCCGCTTGATTTTGACTTGGCCCTCGGGACTGGGTATCCGGCAGGGCCCTGTGGGGATACAAAAGAGTATAAGAGTTTTTGTGTTTTTGATACCTTGCCTTGGCCAGGTCTTCCTTTCTCCTTGCACAGTCTGGCTTGTATAATAGGAATAAGCATAACACAAGTGCAGATTTGGGGCAGCCCCATATCTATTAGCAGCTTGTGGGCTACTCTGATAGCCTCCCCCCCTCTTCTTTGGGGGCTTTGCTTTTGGCATGCAGTGTGATACCAGAAGCTGGATCTCAGAACCTCGCCTGGATGGGCACCTACAGATTCCCCGTAATTTAAGAATTGGGCCCATATGGATCCTTCACTGCCATTTTGCATCTATCCTTGCAGATGAGTAAAATTAGGGCCATATTATACCTTTAAAGTACATTCTCTCCACTCAAAAAATTTTGGGCACTGTAGTTTAAGGGTTGCTGGGAACAGTAACTTTGGGAGGTATAAATTACAGTGCTCAGAATTCTTTGAAAGGGAAAATGTGGTTCGAATGTGCTTTAAGGGCATAGTGCATACACAGCCACAATTTGGCAGGATGGACTGTCTGGGAAGACAGGAGGACCCGATGCAATCTTACATTATTTTCTTAACAGGCTTCAGTGCCTTGTTCTCTGCCAGCTGGGATGAATCCTGCATCTTACCAATAACGTTTTGCCACTTTTTGTTTCACATTACCTAGAAGCCCCTGCCTCTCCTTTTTCTTCTTTGCCTTTTGATTCGCTTCCATCTTCACCACCGAGGAAGGAGAGGGGCCAATCACAGCAGGGTTTACTGTCACGTGAAGGGTGGAGCTGGTGTCGCTGGTCAAGTCGTCAACACCACCGTCGTCATCGCTTTCATAGTCTTTGTGGCGATTGTCATCTGCGGGCAGAGAGGAGAATCAGAAGAAATGGGAGAGAGGGAGGGAGCAGGCCATCTCAAGATGGGGGAGGGACTCAGAGGACATTATGGACAATAACAGGGAGGGGATGCAAGGCATTCTACATGATGCTTCGCTACACTGATGCCCATGCTTCTGTCATCAAGGCACACCCAAGACAATCGCTGCCTTGTTTTTGAGGCCTATACCCTAACACGAACTGAGAAGCCAGAGTTCAAAGCCAGCAGCTCGCAAAACATTTTATACATCTTGTTTGGGGCATTTTATTGCACTGCCTCTTTTTAAATGAATTTTTGGCAGCAATCCACCATTTGGGAACCGTTGGATTTGAGGACTTAATGCAGGAGGAGCCCCTGATAAACTGCCCTGGGGTGCTCATCACGGGTACAACAGTGGGGCAGAAGCTCTTCCAAATGTAACGAAACAAAAAAAAGCCAAGCACGCAACTTGGAGGGTGTTTCGGGCCTCGCAACTGCCCCCCTCTGTCAACCCCGCAGCAAATCTGGCCTGCGTATCCTCCTCCCCCTCTCCCAATCTTGAGTTCTTACATCCTGGCTCTTGCCCCTCTTGACAATGTCCCTTTGTTCTTTTGGCTTTGGGGAGTGGAAGCAGGATTTCTGTCTCAGCCTTGGCTTCCTGATAAGATGCCCCAGAAGCTCCAAGGGAAACCCATAAGGCTGCAGTCAAACTGGAGCGGACATTGGCCCCAGCAGAGGCCAGCACGTGCAGCTATTTTTAAATTCCACAGCTTCCTCTGCTTGCCAGGAGGAAATGCGCTGAGCGGCAAAAGCTCCTGGCCAGAGCAGAAGATAACAGGGGTTTTTTTTCCCTGGAGGATGAACTTGCTCCGTGAATGGCTTGGGAGCGACTAATTGCGCTTTGCCTTTCCCAAGTGGGAAGGTGGGAGGGCCGGTAGGGATTCTGTGTCTTGGGAGTCCAGCACACTGCCCTACAGGACACACACATACTCCCTTTCCACAGGGCCGGAGGTCAGCAATTGTCCCAGGGCCTGTTTTAGCCGTGACAGATACAGCAAGGCAACAGCTGCAAAGTTACTAACATCCTCTTCACCTCTTACTTATTTAAGAACATTTAGTTACTGCTTGATTGCAAGAAAACCACTAAGTGGTTTACAAAGATATAAAATAAAGCAATACCGCAGTGGATAAAACTCAGTTTAAAACAGGTTATTTTTTTTAAAAATCCAGAAGAAAATTAAAACCAACGGTTGCTAAAAAGAGATGAAACATGCAGCTACATGTCTGAAGAGGTTTGCCTAAAGAAACAATGGTTTAAGTAAGGTAAAGGTAAAGGGACCCCTGACCATTAGGTCCAGTCGTGGGCAACTCTGGGGTTCCGGCGCTCATCTCGCTTTACTGGCCGAGGGAGCCGGCATACAGCTTCCGGGTCACGTGGCAGAGCAGCGCACGGAAACGTTGTTAAAAAGAGTACAGTGAAAGGTGCTTGCCTGTTGTCAATAGGCAGGGAGTTCCAAAGTGCAGGTGCTGCCACACTCGAAGACTGATTTATTTTGAGTGTGGAATGAGGATTTTGCAGCACCTGTAACAGTGCCACTTCCACAGATCGAAGTGGTCAAGTGCAAGATGAGGCAAGGTGATCCTGCAAGTCAACTGCTCCCAAGCTGTTAAGGGCTTCGTTTACTAATAGCAACATGCTGGTAGCCAACAGGCAACTGGCGCGCATCTCTGACCAGGGTCTACACCACTGCCAACCTTTGCTTCCCAGCAAACCCCACCCTTCTCTACCGCCATCCATACCTGCATCAGTATTTCCTGTGCTTGGCTTGACCTCTGAGGTAGTGAGGTCCTGCTGTGGGTATTTGGCAGAAGGCGTTGCTTTGGAGCTCTTGGGCCGGGAGAGTTTCTTTTGGATCCTGGTACCGGGGCTGGGCTCTTTCCGTCGGAAGGGGCCAATGTTTGCGGGCAAGCCTTTGCTCTTGACCTTCTGCTTGAGATGGGAGACCTTGTGCACCACGGTGGAAGCCAGCTTGTTTTGGGAGCTGCTCTTCTTGCAACGCACCTTCTCCTGCAGCAGGGAAACAAACACGAGTCACTACGGTCCAAAAGATGCCTTCTCCGCCGTCTCCCACTCCCTCCCACTCACATCTGTTTCTTACAATCAGGGTACATTGGAAAGGATGCTGGGGAGCTGCTGCCAGCCAGTGTAGACAGTACTGAGTAAGATGGGCCAATGGTCTGGTTCAGTAGAAGGCAGCTTCCTTTGTGATCGGTAAAATGAAACTCTCAAATTGTAAAATTGTGCACATTTCTGCCTTACTTTGCCTATTTTTTGGGGGGAGGGGAGGACCACAATATACTGGAAGATGAAGGAGATGCGAGTGTCTCACATATGAAGATACAGCATCCCAGAGATCTCACTAGGCCAGTCCTCAAAGCCTAAAGCATCGTGGTTGATGTGGCAAGTGTCGTCCCCATCTGACTGGCTTTGGAAGGCAGGGGCAGAATGTCAGTGGCTCTGATCAGGCCTAGCTTGTTCACCAACAATCTACTTTTTACTCAACAACCAAAAAGGTGAAAGAATGAAGAGGATGGTTGTGCTAGATAAGGCTCTGTGCTGGACTCACCTGGGAGTTTTTAATGCCACCATAAGCCGTCTCTAATATTTTCCTTTTCTTCTTCTTCGGCTCTCCCTCAGCCCGCAGCTCTGCACACAGCAGAGATAAGCTGGCCTTTACTGACCTGTGAATGGGAAAGAATGCTCAGTTTAGGGAAAGCCCAATGGAAAGACAATTCAGCTCACTGACTCCTCCATTTGGGGGCTGGAGGCCACGGGGTGATAAGGTGCAGTGGTGGAGCCTTACACAAAGGAAGGAATTTTTATATAGGTTTTCAGGATGGAATGAGCACACACAGACACACACACGCCAGTTCGCAGCATTCTGCAATTCCATGCAGCATCAATTACCATGAAACATTGGTTCTAGACTTTATGGCTATATGAGAAAAACCTATGGCAGAATTCTTGTGGCTACTGCTGCCTGCCTAGCCCCGCGCTCCTGTCTCCCATTTCCTTCTCCCAGTTAATTCAAACTCATTCCAAGTTCTCCATATACAAGGGTTAAAATGTGTTGGGTCAGAAGGACACACGCAACCTTTAAGCAAACTTGTAAAATAGAAGCCCATTTTGTGCTGAGATTTTTTCCAGTTTGGCACAATTTATTTTGAGCACGAAAATCAATACTGTCTTGGTCTACAGGATCTGGGAATTTCCTTCTGGTAAAACAGTAATGGACCCGCGTCATTATAACCATTATATGCCCCGGAGTCCAAGGTTGCCATACAAGGATGGAGAGTGCCAGGCAAATGTTCAGGTTCAAGTCCCCGGTCTCTACCCTTTGATCCAGCTGTCTTGGTGCTGGGTGCTCACTAAAGTTTCTAAGAAGCTCAGAGCATTTCTTCTGCCTTTGGGGAAGAAGAGCTGGAAACTTCCTTCCTCCCCCCCCCCCATCTCTCCAGAGCAGGAGGGCACAGCAGGAACTAGGTGCCAAGACATCTGGGTTTTATTGAACTCCACTGTTTCCTCAGGAAGCCGCTTGGATGAAGACTGAATTGGGGTAGCTGTGTAAAACAGGAGACCCAATTTCTCCTGACACATACAAGGACTAGTTAGTATTACTAGGAAAATGTCTGAGACTGTGACAGGCAGGGGAGCAGTGTGTGTGTGTGTGTGTGTGTGTGTGTGTGTGTGTTTAAATACACCTCTATGTTCTGTGCACACATTTACACCTCACTTGGGTTCTGCGTGCACCTCTGTTTTCACAGAGAGAAAAACCAGAACACAACTTTTAAAACAGGATCACATACAGTGGTACCTCGGGTTACATATACATTTCAGGTTACAGACTCCGCTAACCCAGAAATAGTACCTTGGGTTAAGAACTTTGCTTCGGGATGAGAACAGAAGTCACGCGGCGGCAGCAGGAGGCCCCATTAGCTAAAGTGGTGCTTCAGGTTAAGAACAGTTTCAGGTTAAGAACGGACCTCCAGAACGAATTAAGTACGTAACCAGAGGTACCACTGTAAAGCAGATAGAATTGGATATCTAAATGTGGTCAAATCAAGTTTGCAAACCCTTTCCCCAAAGCAGGGAAGGTTGACATTCCTCCCTAAGGGGCGAGGAGACTGAATGGATTCCCTTTGTGCGATGCTCAGAAAACGGGGAAGAAGAGATCATTACTGAGTAAAGAGCCCTGCTTTGCACCCTTGTCAAATGTCACCCATCTTCACCAAGTGAAATTGAAACGTGCCTCCCTTATGGATCGAAAGGTATATGAGGGTTTATACGGGGAGTTTAGAAGGACAAGGTACTTCCGGGGGGTGGGGTAGGTAAAAGCAGCTGGAGGGTCTTGTCCGCAAGACAAGAGTCTGAGCTGACGCCAGTGCTGGATGCATGCTCCCACACACCTTTCTTTCTTTCCCGTTTCCCTTAGGTGGGGAAGATGGCATGCTGCGTCCCTCCCACAGGTCCTGTTGCTGCTTTAGGAAAAGGGAGGAGGAGATTCCTTGGACTTTTCATGCCTTCCAGCAACATTCCGGAGCGGCTGCCACTTCTGCTGCAGCTCATTAATTCACCAGCTATTGGGAGGGGGCGGCGGCTTTGGGACAATCGCTTCTTTCAGCTGAGCTTGTCAGAAGGGTTTATGTGCAAGGGGATTGCCAGAGGAGCTACAGCGGAGCTCCTGCCCGGGCAGCTTAACTCCCTCAGCACCGCCGCTCTTGGCTCCGAGGGAACAGGTTTTATGGGCGCGCGTGGGTGGATGTGGGTCTTGGGGGAACCAAGCAGCTAAATGAGGCATGCCTCTCTGATACGCACAATGATAAGAGCCCTGTTCAGGCGTTTGTGCAGACTTATTATTACCATTATTATTATTATAAAGGTAAAGGGACCCCTGACCATTAGGTCCAGTCATGACCGACTCTGGGGTTGTGGAGCTCATCTTGCTTTACTGGCAGAGGGAGCCGGCATACAGCTTCCAGGTCATGTGGCCAGTATGACTGAGCTGCTTCTGGCGAACCAGAGCAGCTCACGGAAACACCGTTTACCTTCCCGCCGGAGCGGTACCTATTTATCTACTTGCACTTTGACGTGCTTTCAAACTGCTAGGTGGGCAGGAGCAGGGACCAAGCAATGGGAGCTCACTCCATTGCGGGGATTCGAACCGCCGACCTTCTGATCAGCAAGCCCTAGGCTCTGTGGTTTAGACCACAGCGCCACCCGCGTCCCTGGTAGGGTAGAAGTACCCCCCCCCCACCAAAGCAGACAAATTTATTTTCACATGCAACAGCCGCAGCGAGAATACTATATGCACAAAATGCAAGATGCGGTGGTACCTACTAAAGAGGATTGGCAGGTGAAATTGACAGAATATGCCAAACCAGCACGTTTAACAAGTAAAATTGGGGATCAGCAGTCTTTTAAGGAGGAGTGGAAAATGTACATTATGTAAAAAACCGTATCTGAGAAAATTGTGGTGTATAACATGCAGCAATATTTGAAAAAGTTGGAGAAACCATAGAGGGGTGGAGGGGAAGTCCAGTGTTAACTGGCAGTTAATTGGTTGAATCTGGGGTGACTCCCATTCAGCTGAAAGGGCTTTGAAGCCTCTGCAATAGGAGACCTGAATAACAGGGTGCCACCAAGGTCTGGATTGAAGCTGGCATAGGTTGGGATGTTGGAGGCAGGGCTTGTGTGTGTGCCCTGTTCCCCTCCTCAGTTATGTGGAGCCTGTGGCCTTTCAGATGTTGCTGGACCATGGCATCAAATATCCCTGTCCATTGGCTATGCTGCCCGGGGCTGATGGCAGCAGAGTCCCCAGAAACATCTGGAGAATCACAAGCTTTCCTATCTTCAGTTTAAGTCAGTGTTTCCCAAACTTTGGTCTCCAGCTGTTTTTGGACTATAGTTCCCATCATCCCTGACCATGCTAGCTAAGCATGATGGGAGTTGTAGTCCAAAACCAGCTGGAGACCCAAGTTTGGGAAACACTGGCTTTAAGCCCTGATGTGTTCACACAAATGCCTGAATCGAGCTAAGAAGATCTGGAATTCTGGAAGAAAATCCCCTCAATTCTGCAGTATTACAACTCAAATTATCCAACTGGATAAAGCAAATTACAAAGACTATGCTTTCTTATTTTCCTCTTTTTTCAAAATTCTGGGTGTTTGTTCTACTTAAGGAGCAGGGCAAGACCTGTAAGGACTCATGGAAGAAATATGAGAAGCAGGATAGGTCTCTTGAAGAGGAGGACTGGGAGCCATGGGGAAGGACTATGAGTAACATGGACTTAAGTTGTCTTGCCCTCCTGACCAATGCAAGCCCTCTCTCAGCCACCTCTACCATTTTCCTGGGGCTGCAATGAAACTTCCACATAGATTATCACGTCTGATGTTCCTGCATGTACTAATAAGCTAAGAGCTATCATAGATTCCCACTATATGCATGCCAACTAAATGTGCACCATAAAAATCTGAGGGAATGACCATCGCATTAATTCCTAACACAAAGTACCTTCTGTGTAGGACTCTGGTATTGTGCAAAGGGATCCTAAGAGTTTGGCAGAAACAGCCAGCATGGTTGTGAGCTGTTTCTTCATAACCAGCACTGGGGAAAAACTTAGCTAAGGAAAATGAGATGCAGAAGAAACGAGGTGAAATTTTCAGGGGTTCTTTGCAAACTATGGGATCGGAGTTAATATCTGTGCTCTGTAGCATTGCTGCAAGCACGCAGTCTCCTGCAGCTGCTGGCAAGGACTCTTGGCGTATCTCGGCCATGGCTGCATGCGTGTACATACTGTATAAAACACAAATTCTGCACCACAGAAATTAGAATTCCGTGACCTATCTGAATTTGAGCATGTTTGTGCATCTTCTTTTATTTTGCATAAACTGATTCTGGAACATTTGCCGTTTTAACTATATATTAGGACACTACAGATCAGCCCCCAAACCACTGCTGAACAGCCTTTTCTGCTTTGGGGAGAAACTAGCTGTGTAACTTTCAAGCAGATCTTTGCAGCGATTAAGTTCTAGAAACGTGCTCTTGAAAAAAGGAAATTAAGCCGAGAGTTCTGTTGGAAGCTGAGCATTCATTCAAGCTGAACTGAATGCCTAGTGCCCTTCTGTGCTCCCTTGGAATTGCAGCACATGCAAAGCCATGTTCTTAGAGGAGCGAGGTAGTTGCTCCACAGGCATCTGTGCCCGGCTCTTCCATGGAATAAGCCATGGCCCACTGGCCCAGTAAAACCCATTGGAGGAGAGCGCCAGGATTCCTGCTGCTAGTGTGTACTCACTGCTGCCTTCCAAACATTTCCTGTCTCCACAAAGGGCAGCGTGTGTGTGTGTGTGCAAGTTACATAGAGCAAGCTAGAGGAAAGCCTGGATCAATCTCATCCGACACACTGAAAAAGAAGCAACGAAGGGACACGTTGCTTGATGTCAGGAGAAAAGGAGCAGGAAGCAAAGGCAAAGAGAACACCACTCTTATGTTTCAAGCAGAATCAAGACTAAAAAATAGCCAGAGGAGGTGCACCCTCCCTACCCATAAACAAGAATCAAATTAAAGAAACAAGCCTGGTCTAATCTGAAGCAGGCCATCCATTTTTTTCTTTTTCTTTTGACACCTTCTAAATCAGCCTTCCCCAATCTGGTGCCCTTCATGAGTTTGGGACTAAATGTCCCATTAGCCCGGTCATGCTGGCTGGTGGGATTTGTAGTCCAAATACATCTGAAGGGTTCCTGGTTGGCGAAGTCCATCGCAAAGGATCCGCTCCGCATCGCGTCGTCAGTTCTTTCACAAGCAGCGTCCTCCCAGCATAGTAAATATGAAATGAATTAGCTCCCTGAAGGCTTTGTTCCCATCCCCCCCTACTGCTGGCTGGCTTCCCGCTCGGATCTCCAGCGCTCGTTAGTTCTAATTGCTCCACTCCGGCACCCAGAGAAGCCGCCTCTTGTTTGCTCCACCCTGGGAATACAGCCCAGGGTTTGAGGCCGCGCAAACCCCCTTTCCCCCTTCCCCGAGACGGCTTCTGTTCACACTCCTCTCCCGGGCCTTGCCCCCTGCACCTCGACCTTCTGACCCGGGGCTGACCCTGGAGCTGGTGCCAAATTCCATTCCTGCGGCTGCAGCAGGCGAGGAAGGAGGGAATTCCCTGACAAGCAGAGGGATGGGAAGGGAGCAGAGCACCCTCAGGCAGGCAGGCAGGCAGGCAGGCAAAGGGCCATGGGCAGAAGGCGGGGTGCGGAAAACAGGCCAGCAAGCAACTCGGGGCTCCGGAGAAAGCCAAGCCGCCCATCTTCACACCTCGGGCACCAGCGGGCAGGGAGCTACCGTGGCTCCAGGCCACCGCTCAGTTCCGGGGAGTGGCTGGAGGGAAGCAAGCTTGGCAGGGATTCTCTCGCTCGGCGTGGGAAGCTGCGGGAATGTTCCCGATAGGAAGCAGGCCAAGGGGCCGGGCCTGCAGCTGCCACAAGAGCATGTGTTGCTTCAGCGAGGCCAAAAGCAGGGAAGGGATGCCATGATGGCTGGGAGACTTGGCCTGGCAACGCACAGCAAGGGGATCCTGTGCCACCGTGGCTCGCCTGGCTGGGTTTACAAGGCAAGGCCTGTGCGCCAGGATGCAAATCAGGAAGGAGCGCAAGCCGCCGTTCAGGTGTGGAGCGGTGAGTGTCGTGGGTGTGCAAGTTTCCCTCTGGCAGCCTGTGTGGTTTGGAGCCATCCTGCAATACTTTGATCTGCAGGGAAAGGGGGTGTCGGTTCGATGTTGCGCGAACTCTCCCAGGAAGGGCTGAGCCGTTGCTGTGTTTATAGGGCTGTTTGGAACAGCATCTCCCCTACTGAGCCCATTTTGAAAAGTCCAGGAAAAGCTATGCCATGCTCTGAGCCCACTAAAGCATGTATGTAGAAGAGGGTGCAGGTATTATTTAGGTTGCAACTCATGAATGCAAAAAGCACTCCCTAAGTACAGGAATTAGAAATTGGGGGAAGAGAGAGAGATAGACAGACAGACAGACATTGCATCCTAAATATACACTATATTTGGGACCTGAGAATAACACCCCCACTGTGGACAGTGAGAGCCTCACCAATGCAATGCCATTGGTAGAATGTGGTTACGCTATTTCCAACTGGGCCCACCTACTGAATAGAGCAGCTTTTCAGAGACATGAAGGCAGTATGATAGACTATTGATGCCCCATTACAGAAGGTCACGGCCCCCACCCCTCCTCCTGCCATAGTCTCTGGTTCAACGTATCTTACAGATTCTCATAACACTTGCAAAATGCAGAGGCCACATGAGGATGGAATGCCAATGTTCCGGGGCAAGGATATTGGCTCTATCCATACCCGCTTCAAGTCTGCAAATAACCTGCCACCTATAAACAGCTTCGTTTCACCACTGATGAAAATGGTCAAAGATATTCGTCCCTCCTTTCAAGGGGAAGAGTTTCCCGACCCGGTATTCTCCCTTTCCGAACAGTTGGGAGCTCTCCTACCGCTGTGGAAAGTGTGTAAGTCACGGAACTCAAAAGGATGCAAGCCCACGTTTTAAAAGCAGGGGGCTGGTGAGGCTTGGTTCTTAAGATTTGCTCGTACGCTGCTGGAGACATGCAGACAGTATGGTGGGAAAGCCCGGCATTTGGAGGGGTCCCTGTTTCCTGCCTCCATCTGAACTCCTCTCCACTGTTCCTCTGAAGCCACAGAACAGTTTAGTAGAGCCACCAAAACAGGGACTGCCTTCCAAATCAGCTAAGAATGTATTCCCTTCTGGATTTGGTTTTGCATAAACCTACACAGCTCTGCAAGGTTTGGGGAGGGAACAGGAATAAATCCAGGGGAAAGGGTCCAGGCAAGGGCGGTGGGAGGGAGGGAGGAATGGGAGAAGGCAAGCAAGTTCTCCAGCAAGCCCTGGAAGATTTCCACGAGCCATATGGTGGAGCCATGTTGCAACCCAAAGCCAACACTAACTGCTTTTTTTCCCCTGTAACCTTCACTACATTTGCTAATGTTTTGTGACATAAAACCTAGAGATTAATTTTTTTTTCTTCTGTCTTAATTGAAGGAACCATTTAGTACAGATTTAACTATTATTACCAAATCATCAGGATTGATGCAGCGCACACACGCGTGCTCCAATCATGTTTGGACTAGCTTGGAGGATTTATGCAAATGGGCCTGCCGGGAGAGGCAATTTGTAGCAGAGAAGGACAATTATACAGGGCCCGTGAGTGCGGGAATGACTGTGCCGGGCGGCTAATGGATAATCATAAAGCGCCAGCAGCAATGAACACCACTGCAGTGTGACCAATGACTTTATACAGCACAGATAAAGAGGCTTTTATGCAACACTGCCTTCCTCTTCAAAAGAGGGGCAATTCTTTCCCCCCAGAATGGTGGCAGGAGGCAAGGCAGTCACGAGGCGGGGGAGCACAGAGGAGCAGGCCTCTCTCCAGCCCCGCTGCTCCCCTGGGTCTCGGTGCCCATTTGCAACATGCAAGACAAACCCCTGCACTCGGCGCTGAAATACAACCACTTCTGGGGCGAAGGCACCGGTTAACAGCCACGAACAACAACATGGGAAGACTTTGACCTCAAGGGACTCCATTAACACCACCAGCACTACCCCCCGCCAATGCAAGCAGTGCTCTATAATAGCTACACTGCAAGCACAGGGAATTGTGGGGGGTGCCCCTGCTCCCTCTTCCTTAGCAACTGTGCTGGCTTCTTAAGTATATAAAGATACAACAGGGCGACAGAGGAGAAGCATGCATACAGCTTCATACACAACAGCCACCCTAGTAAACGTAAGCAGAGTGGGCGCTTGCAAAGTGATCGGTGGGGTAGCTTGGAGGGCTGCCCCACATAATGGATCCCATAATGTGGTGCATGCACACCATTTGAATGGCAACGTCCATCAACTCAGGGGAGGGGGGTTGGCCCCTTCAAATATTTGACCGGGGTGGTGGTGGTGGTGAAGACCCCTCAGCCCCTAGGAGTTGGCTCCCGTGAATGCAAGAGTAGAAGGTACAGAGGGGGTGCATAAGCCTTTCTGTGCTTCCCACATTTCTCCGCAGGCCCCGGTTCCAAGACGGAAAATGGGCTCAAGCTTGGGGAGGAATAAGTGAGACAGGCAGGGGAGGAAAAGGCGATCTGGAAAGAAAAGCAGCAGGCGGAGGAAAGGTTCCGTGCCCTCCCCACCCCTGCTTCTAGAGGGACTTGGTGGCTACCCAGCATTTGGCCACGCAGCCCTGCCAGTGTCACGCCCAGTTCTCCCCTCGCACTCCTGTAATGATGCCCCCACATGCATGTGCTCATTCACGCACACCCACACTTCCTCACGCATTGGAAATACAGCATGTTGCGCATGCAGCGGCTAGGGTGCCCTTCCCGCCCCCTGCGAGCCGAGCCCGGTCACTCACTTGACCTTCCTGCTGTCGCTCTTGCTGATGGAGCCCTGGCGCAGGGAGCTGAGAGTGCTGGAGTGCTTGCGCTTCCTAGGTCGCCCTGGTCCCCGCCGAGCCGGACTCCGGGAGCTCTCGTCTCGCCTATGGGCAACAGCCACAATAAGCACACATCCAAGGGGCAAGCGCTCCCCTAGCTCCTGCTTGGAAGGGCTGGTGGTGTGTGTGTGTGTGTGTGCCTGCCTATGGTCTACAAAGCTGAAGAGGAGTTTGAAACTCTCGATGCAAGAGACCCATTTGCTTGCTTGGGCTGCAGGAGCCATAGCAGACAGGTCCAAGATCAGGTGTTTTTTTCACACCCTCGCCTCTTTCTCAATGCTTTGTGGTCTTACCCACATTCTCTGGGGCACCTTGCCCTGCAAACCTGCTGAAAAAAGGCAAAGACACTCACTCGTGGTCGTGCCGCCTCTGCAGCTTGGCCAGCTCCCGCTGCTTCTCCTTGTAGCGCCGCTGCAGTTCCGCCAGCCGCAGCCGCATCTCTACTTCCTGGGTGTCCAAGTTCTCAATGGCTGCTTTCAGGGGGCAAACCTGCGGGAGAGAGGGGGAAGGAGCCTTCACTGGGGTGGGAAAACAAAGAGGCCATGCCGTGTGCACCATGCTCTGTGCAAGTTGTCCATTCATTCCTAACCTTCTCTTTTCCCTTCGAGTAGCAGGCCCAAGAACTTCCAGAGGTGAAGAAGAGGCAGGGAAGGCCAGCTGGCTGGAAAAGCTGACCTTTGGGTGGTCTACCCCAATCAGTGTCAGGTTTTGGCTGAATGCCATCAGGGAAAGAAATAAGGGCCCGCCCGCCAAAAAGGTGGGGAACAACCAATATTGCATTGTCAGGGATTTTTAAAGCACGGGCCCAGCTGTTCCCTATGGCAGCTGACAGGTTTCAGCAGCAGAAGAGGGGGATCTCATCAGATAAAGTGGCTAGGAGTTCTGCAGATTTAAAAGGAACAGGGCATGTGTGGTTCAGAGACACACCAGACTTCTGACTTGTTCTAGCCAGGGCCGGAACTGTGCCAGGATGGAATGATGGACAGCTGGAAGGAACATTGTTTATTCTCCTTCTGCTGTCAGAGGCAGGGGGTCACAAGTGGAGAGTGTGCCACCGCTCTGGCGTTCTGCTTTCAGGCTTCCCAGAGGCATCCCACTGGCTGCTATGAGAACAAGGTGCTAGAATAGGTGGGCTACTGGCCTGTTCTAGCAGGCTCTTCTTATGCTTTTCAATTTATTGACATCACCTGTTGGCTTCCTTGAAAGGAAACAAACGGCAGGGCACAAATGATTGCAACCAACGAACAAGCACATCCTCTCTGTCCCCTATTTGAAATGCCCTGGGTACACGGGATACTTACAGGCTTGGTCTTAGGGGTCCAGATGTATTTGCGGCGGGAGGCCCGCATGCGAGGACGCAGGTCCACGCAGGGCACAGCAGCTTCTGCCAGGTCGAGGAGGTCAGGGGGGCTGCTCTCCAGGCCGGTTGCCTCAACCAGGGCCCAGGCGGCAGCGAGAGTGGCCAGGCTTTGCAGATTGAAGGCTGCCAGGTCTTCATCCAGCACTGTGGAAAGGGGGGAAGGTTACCGTGGTGGAAAAACCATTCTCATCCACAGGGGAAAGAGACATACATTAAGATATCATACACCTTGGGTCTTCGGATCTTGGGTCCCCCAGGAGGTTGTGGACTCTCCTTCCTTGGAGAGGTTTGTAAGCAGAGGTTGGATAGCCATTTGTCATGGTTGCTTTAGCTGAGATCCCTACTTTGAACCGCATGACCATTGGGTCATGACCTCCCAACTTGGCAACTCTATGATTCTATTGGGTGTTTCCGGGCACATAAAAGGGGCACACCACCCTGAAACCATTGTCCCCTCTCTGCCCCCAAAGCAACCTTGGGTAGCGACTGGGTGCCGGCTTGTTGTTACTACTGGCCATGTCTTCCTATTTTTCCGAGCGAACTGCGGCTCTGTTCCTTTCTCGGACACACCCACTGGTAAGGGGTTTTTTTTTGGGGGGGGGGAGGTTAGCCTGGCACAATGCTCACTCTGGAAAGGTTGCCTTGCCTCTGCCCGCTCTGCTCTCCATACCCTGCTACACAAAGACATCAGGCACACGGTCGTGTTTATCTCAGGCACATACCACACATCCATCCAGGCAGAGGGGATGTTATTGGGATGCCACATACTTCGGGGGGGCGGGGGGGAGAGAAAAGGCAATTTGAGCCGAGGGGGCAGCAGCCAGGAGCCAGAGCCGTCTGAACTTGGGGGAAGGAGAGGGGCCTCTTCAGATAGCATCAAACTTGGGAGGAGGCTTTTGGGAAGAACCTTGCCCAGAGGGGATTGATCGGAAGGGTAACGTAGTTCCAAACTACAAATTTTAAAAGTCCCTGGAGATGATGAGCAGATGGAGGAAGGGGGGGGGGACGGAGAGTCACAGATAAGGTTTTTGCTGTACATCAATTTGCTTTGTGCTTGTGTACAAGGATGTCTGCCTGCGAATGCGCCTGCACACATGTGTGAGGAGGCATGCAGGGGAGTCCTTGTATGTGGTTTCCGTTCCACTGTGGACAAAGAACGGTTCCGGTGTGTGAGCAGTAACCGTTTGCCGTAGAGATGAAAAGTGCAGACTTTGCTTAGCCACAGGGGGTGATAACCATCTGCATATGTGGGCTGGTGCAGACCCCCTCGTCTGGGGAGGTGGGAAAACGGGAGGCTGAAAACGGCAGCGGAAAGGTGATAGAGACTAAAAAAAGCAAGACTTTCACTATTTTCATTCTGCTGAATTTCTTTTTTTAAAAAAACACCCTGCCAAACAAGAGCGCTAGAAAGTTCTCAAGAGCAATGAGATTCTGAAACAGGAAGCATCTAAGTGATATGGAGGCAACCCTTTCTCACTGAAAGGTGTTCACTGGTTAATGCAGTTGAATAAGACAGGTATTTTCCTATTTTTTAAGGACCCTCATAATAATAATAACGGGCCTATCCCAAGTCTCTGCAGTGCCCAAATTCAAGGTCCAAACTAGATGACGAGCCTCCCTAAATTGTTTTCTGTATGCAACAGAGTGGCTGCCTCAAAGGCTCTTGCCTCCCAGACTCACAAGGGGTTAATATCCTCTTCCGAGAGCTCAAATCAAAGGTTGAGCTACTCCTAGCGCCGGCTAGGCAAGCCCCCAATGTGCTGCCTGACCCCTGACTTCACTCCGCAGTTTGGCAGGACTCCAGACTCCATGCCTCTAGGGGGGGAAATCACTCCATTCCCCACGGGCCAGGAATAAGCAACCTCTAACGATTAGCTCTTCTTTACGGCGGCAATTATGAAAGACACCGTTTTCCCTAGCTAGGCACCAGGGTGCTTCAAGGCATCCTGACATGCAGAGTCCGTACTTCATAAAAGAGTGCACCTAGAGCAGAAGCCTAGGAAGGCAACTGCTGCTCAAACTCTGGGGGGTTTTCGCCATGGTTCTCAACTTCCAGATCCCCAGAGCCGTCCAAGTTTCCTGCCTGGGTGGCAGATCACGTAACTCCAAAGGCACTGCATAAGGATATCATGGCCTACGAGGGACCAAAAATAGGGTACAGTTCTACTGGTGATCTGAGCGAGTGCAGATACTGTTCTGCAAACCCGAGGAGGGTCTTAAGGTCAGGAGGGGATCCTTTAACTTGTACATACAAAGGCCTACAGGGCTGTTAGGAAGAGCCCTGCAGGGTTCTTAGGGACAGCGCCACTTATCTATGTGAAGGAAGTGGTGGGGTTAGTACTGGGGAGGCAAAAGCTCCTGATCAAAGTGGATCCTGCAGTTCTGTTCTGCACCCATTTCAACCAGGTGCCATCTTTTAGTTCACTAGATACTGACTGTCACAATGGTTCGATTACATGGCTTCGTATTTTGACTCTACATTTTTATTCTGATAGCCGCAGTACGGTTTGTTTGTTATTTTTAGCTTTGTGGTTTCGTGGCTTTTACTTTGTAAACTGCTTAGAGGTTTTCTATCTAGAGCAGGGTTTCCCAAACTTGGGCCTTCAGCTCGGTTTTTTGGTTGTCGTTTTTGAACTACAATTCCCATCATCCCTGACCACTGGTTCTGCTAGACAGGGATGATGGGAGTTGTAGTCCAACAACAGCTGGAGACCATAGCTGTCAACTTTTCCCTTTTCTTGCGAGGAGTCCTATTCAGAATAAGGGAATTTTCCTTTAAAAAAGGGGAAAGTTGCCTTCTATGCTGGAGACCCAAGTTTGGGAAACCCTGATTTAGAGGAATCTTATCTATACTGTATATTGATTAAGCAAATATTCCTGTGAGGATGGGGAGGTGAGCAGCAGGTAGCTTCCAGCATGGCTCTCACGGAGGGGTACAAGGCAGGAAGAAGCAGAGCAACTCTCTTAACCAGCAGTATGCCTGGTGCGGAAGCAATGTGGGGCAAATAATGGGGGCACTGCTGGCAAGCTAGCGGAGAACGCTGAAAGGCCGCAGTTGTGGACAGGCTGTTTGAGCAGTTCAATGGGAGATCGCACATGAGAGTGATGTGCATTTGCCCTTCGGCTGCTTAATCGTTCAGTGCCAACACTGGAGAGCTAATGGAAGATATCAAGGGAGCAGGCCCTGGCACAGATGCAAATTCTACAGTCTCAAAGGTACAAACTTGACAAGACCAAGGTCTGGGAAAAAATTCCAGAACTTCTGGTTCCAGTCCCAAGATAATGTTCCCATCATGAACAACCTTTCAGTCTCCAGTGGGCTGTCATCCTTCCTTCGCATCCCAAGCTCCTACAACATGCAGGGGAGTGGCGGTCAACTCCTTGCTGTCCAGGCAGGAGGCAGGGCTGTCCATAGCAAGGATAGGGCGGGGAACTGACCCTCCAGATGTTGACAGACTCCAGTTCCCATCAGCTCCAGCCAAGAAGGCCAATGGTCAGGAGTGATGGGAGTCCGGCAACATCTGCAGGGCCACTGGTTCCCCATCCCTGGCGTATAGGAAAGAAGTTTCTCATTCCTCTAACGACAATGGAAATTTAGCCCCGTCTCTGACTCTTGGCAGGCTGCCCTCCTGAACCAAAGAAGTAAGCAGCGCTTAGCTACCATGAACAAAATGAGTGGGCAAGTCACCCAGACAAATACAGATTCCTCTTCCCAGTCCCCTTGCTTGCTTGCTGGTCACTGGCCTCCGTGAGAGGGAAGGGACAAAACAGTGACGAGAGGGAGGGGGAGAGGAAAGATAGCCCCTGCGTTCCTTACCATGGGCGGCAGTATCGCACTGCTGGCGACGGAGTTCCAGTTCTGCCAGCTCACTGAGCAGGGCAATGCCAGGAATCCCTGAGCTGCATGGCGAGGGCAGGGGAAGGGAATCTGCAGGAGGTGGAGATTCCAAGGCTGGGAGCTCGCCCAGATCGATGCTGGCAGCAATGAGGGCGTCCAGGCCGCACGGGGCCACCTGCACCTCAGCATGCGTCGACAGGTCATCTGGCGAGCTGGCATCGCTCTCGTCTTCCTGGCATTCATCTTCCAGTGCTGCGGCTGGGCTGTCCTCCACAGCCATCACCTCCGGCGAAGGCCCTGGCACAGCAGCTTCCGGCCTAGGCTCCTCCTGGCATTCCTTCGGGGCAGAGTCCAAGCCATCTGGGCTGTCCCCGACCAGCAGGGGGCAACACGGCGTCTCCTTGGCCAGTTCCGTGGAGCTCGGCCTCTGGGGGTGCACAAGGAGGTGGGGAGGGTGAGGGTGGGAGGAATCCACTTCGGGGTCCCCAGCCCCACTGGATGGGCGAGCTTCCGACTCGCATTGTGGCTCCTGCTCCGGTGGGAAGGTGCGCGACTGTTCGGGCTCAGCTGCCGTGGAAACCGTTTGCATAGTGTCAGGATCAGCTGGGTCCAGGGGTAAAGGTGATGCATAGCCCAGGCCAGCCACAGGGTAGGAGTAACCAGGGGGAAGATCTAGAGGAAGAAAGAACAAGGAAAGAGCACCAAGATAAGCTATGGCACACACACAAGAGCGGGGGGCACAGGGTCAGCTTGGGACTCTCCAAACCAAAACTCAGGAGAACTCAAAGCTCAGCTCTGCCCTCGCCGGTCCTGGAAGGATCCTTTTAAAAAATCCCATATGCTCAGAGACTTGGCGCCTGTTCATTGGGGGAGATAGGAAGCCCAGAGCTCTTGTTCTTTAGATGTCCCTTTTATGAAGAGCCACGTAGTGAGACCATTGGTCCCCTGTCGGTGAGGCTCGCTGACCTCCCGGAAAAGCAAAAATTTGACCTTTTCCTGTTAGGCAAAGATCATAAGATGACCTGGATGGTCACCAGATTCTGTGTACAGATCTGTAGGCGCAGACCATCCTCCGACCAAACTAGTTTGTTAAGAAAATCCCCAAACTCGGTTCCATGGGTGACTCTGGGTCATCTCTCTGCGGTAGCTTATCTTAAAGTTTTAAGTGTCTGTACGCTTATTGCATTTATAAATTTTAAATTTATTGTTGTACATTGTTTTAAATGTTTGTTTTCCTTCTGGGATTGTACCCCCAAGTGTGTTTTATAAGCTGGTCTCCGACCGTAATAAATTATCTATCTATCTATCTATCTATCTATCTATCTATCTATCTATCTAGATAACTCAGATGAGCCTGACCTCATATCCTGCACCCTTCCTAAGAGAAGGCTGGTCCATTCTCACAACTTCCGTGACTGCAGTAAGTTATGCTAATGGAACATACTCCCTTGCTGTTTATTTATTTTCTGGCAGCATTGAACTTTCTACAAATTACCTAGGAAGAATGGCGTTCAGACTTTTGTGGTACCGTGCCTGTAGGAAGGGGGAAGAGAGGGGGGAAAGCATGAACAGGGACCAAGAGGGGCTGATCAGGTTCTGATCCTCAACAGTGGAAAATCCTTCACTGTTTCCCAAACTTGGGTCTCCAGCTGTTTTTGGACTACAACTCCCATCATCCCTAAGTAGCAGGACCAGTGGTCAGGGATTATGGGAATTGTAGTCCCCCTCCCCCAAAACACACACACACACACACACACACACACAAACCAGCTGGAGACCCAAGTTTGAGAAACCCTGTTCTAGAAGCCCATCCGGTTCCTGGGCCTTTAAGTGCACCCTTTCCAAACCTTTCTGCACAACAATGATGATTGAAAACTTTGAATGTGTTGGCTAAAGCCTGCGTAAAATAACTGCACTCTGAACTACATGCTGATGCCAATGCCTAGCAGGGCACAGATCAAGACACTTACTACAGGGAGAGGGAGTCCATGCCATGGGCTAGTAACCAGCCCTGTGGTCGATATTGGGTGCAAGCAGTGCACAAATATACCGTGTCTCTTCCCGACGCCCCCTTCCATGCATAGCCTGCCACGAATCCCTACCTGGTTCCAGTGATTTGGGATAGTCCTGGGCTGGCCTCCCTTCAGGCTGCTTGTCCTCGGCCTCCGTGCCAGTGGAGCTCTGCGAGGGCACCGGACTGACAGCAGGCGAGCGTGGCACCACAGCAGGGCAGACAGGTAAAGTGCAGGGGGCAGGGCATTTGGGCGGGTGGCAACACGGGGAGAGCTTGGCTGAGCAGGCAGCTGCTGGCGACAGGCCCTTCGGGGGAGCGTTTAAGGCAACAGCTTTGTGGGATGGTTTGAGTGGCTTCTCGGGGCCTGGCATCTCCAGCTCAGGGGGCGGCTCGTCGGGCTTCCGCTACAAGGAGAGAGATGGACGGGTCAGCGAGTGCCTGAACCCCACGCAACCAACCTCACAAAAGGGCAATTAACCCAACGGCAATACAGTCAGTATATGCATCTTAAGACTTGCATTTGTCCCCCGTGCTTTGCAATCCTAAGCACGTCTGGTTCCACATCACTTCCTGTTGATACGTCCTTATCAGCCCACCAACTCTGGTTCCTCACCCCAGTCCTGATCCTATACTCGGGTTGAATCGGTAGCCATTTATTTCGATTGTGTCCCCTTCTCAGTCGGGTTCAAGGGAAACCTGGATACACTTCCGATGAAGGTTATTTTGGGTTTCCTATTTTAGTGCTCTGTGCCACTCTAGCAGATGTGAGCTGTGTGTGCTTCCAAGTAAATAAATCAGGATTCCGAGCCAAAGCAACTCAGATTCCGTACCAGCAAAAAGCAAAATACTGCAACCTAGATGAAGTTATGGAAACAGGGATCATTTTATCTATCTTCTGCTGGTTGAGGCAGCAGGAGGCAATAACCTATGCAGGGGGCAGAAACCCCATCCTCTTGACTGTTGGGGTTTTTCATCCAGCCACACCCCTCTGGTTTCCAAGATGTCTCCAGGCATCAATCCCACACTTTTCCAAGCACATCTTTGCAACTATATTTGGGGAGCTGAGCTTCAGAGAAGGTTGATCCTCAGGCCAAACATAATTATTATTTGCTTTTTGCGGTGCTTGCTCAGAATCACAACACACACACAAGCCCCGATCGTCACCCTCAGGAAGAGTGCTGTTCTTCCACATAGGATACTGGCGTCTATCACCACCATGCAGCGAGAAGCAGGATGTTGACGACCATAGCTCTGCAGCCAGTAGAACTTTCTTTGAGATGACTCAGGAGATAAATTCTTACACTCACTCAGAATCTGGCCAAGCACCGTATTTTGAGCCAGTGAGGGATTTCTCATCAGATCAGATTGGCTGGAGATCTCTCTCTCTCTCTCTCTCTCTCTCTCTCTCTCTCTCTGTGTGTGTGCGCACATTTCCTTTCCCTTGTAGCATGGTGGGTTACTTAGTGGGTGAGTCATCTGTAGCTGCACAGTCACCTTTCTGCAATGCATTTGCTTCGTGTGTGTTAATGTGTGTCAGCCTGGACCGTAGGGGCTGAGCTTTTGCAAAGCAGCTGCATGGGTGGCCTAGACTTTCATGCAGAGAGAATATTTGATGATTCCTTGGTCGTTGTCCCCCGACCTCAGATTACCCATGTCCCCCAGAGGGAGGAGGTTCCTTCCTCAGTAAGCAGATCCTTTCTAGCTGCCCAACAAGAGAAGCCTGATGGGTACCGAGAGGGGTTACTGTGATGATGGCCTCACTTCGCACGCCTACCTGGCTGTGTGTGTGCCGCTGCACTTCCAGTGCCTGTGCTGCACGCTGCTGTTGCTGTTGCTGCTGCTGTTGCTGCTGCAGGGCATAGAGTTCTTGCTGACGCAGGAATTGGGAGCGGGAATAGACAGGGAGTTGCCCTGTGTGCTGCAGGTGAGAGCCAGGCCCCCGGCTGGGATACATGGGTGGCCAAATTGATGCCTGATCCATCACCTCAGCTGCTGAGAGACAGGGAGATTAATCAGAGAGGTAAACAAAGCCAGAGAGTATGGAGGTGCCTCCCTGATCCCTGAATTAGAGAGCCACACCCATCTCCTCTCATCAGAGGGGCAGCTCCCGTGTACCCAGCTACTATCCAGCAGCAGTGGTGGGATGTGCCAGCCAATTAGTGCCTGGCTGCTACTTACCCAGGGTATGGGGCGCCCCATGGGCTGGAGGCTCAGAAGGCAGGATTACTAGTTGAGCAGGTGGTTCCTGCGACAGGGGGAAGACTGGCTGCATGGCACTGGGCATAGAGGCTGGGAAGCCGGGAGGCAGGTTTTGATGAAGAGCAGGGTGCCCGATGCCTAGAGAGAAGAATGCACTTGACATAGAAAGCCCAGCCCACTCAACACACCCTCCCAGCAGCCACATCTTCCTTAGGGAAAGAGATCGAATCAGAGCAAAGTGAGGCTTTGCTTTTTCATGGTTCCCTCAGGGTAGGCCAAGAAGCGTTCAGCTTCTCGTCACATGGGCATATGCAGACAAACGAAAACCCACCGCAAGAGGCAGGGAGCAGGTCACGTATGTACCACGCAGATAATATCCACTTAGGAAGATCATCATGTATCACACAGTCCTTACGAGATCTAGGAGAATCCCCTCCACCTATCTCTACCTGACAATCAGCTGTGACCCCGGGAAGGCAGTCTCCCAGGTCTGCAATACCTCTGAGGGTTGAGTCATAGGACAGGCAATAATCTAGTTTTGCCCGTGTAAAATTCTAGATGGAAAATCGTATGTATGCGCAGGTGTTTTTGCTGCATGTACAGATGACTCTTTCTTGAGGCAAGAATATTTTAAGCATATGAAGTGGTCACTAAGCCTTAGGCTCTCGAAAGCAATTAGGGCTAAAGGTTACAGTGAGGCTTACGCAATAACCAGTTAAAAAAACGGGCAGGAAACAGGCAGTACAGGGGGTCACAAATAACGGGACAATAGCAATCCAGAGACTAAAAGCAACGCCAAGGGACGGGGCAGCAGGAAAGCACAGAAGGAAACTGAAACTGCCAGGAGAACAGAGTAGAAAACTGTAAATCAGGCATGAAGTGAGTTCAGAAATGGACCAAAGATAAGGAGAGGAGCTGCTGCCAGCATGGCCTAGGCAAGGGTTCTAGGTAGAACGTTGACACCCAGCAATACTGACCGTATGAGTGTCCACCCATCCAAAGAGAAGGGCTGCGGGTCCGGGGCAACCAGTGGGTATGAGCCGGGTGGGTATGGGCTGCTGGGTCTCCTCCCAACTGGCTGGCCTGCAACGAGGAACTGCCCGCAATCATCAGGTGGGGTGTAAGGTCTCCAGGGCAGCTGCTGGACGGATGGATGCGGGCAAATTCCACAAGGTCCTTGTTATCCCTGTTACATCAAAAATCAGACGGGACAAAGGTAGGTCAGCTGCAACAGGTCAGGATCGTCCAGGCCTGTAAAGGGACTACACAATGTGGGCTGTCATGCAATGTACAGGCAATGCCCCCTCTCCAAATTTGTATGGGAGTTCTGTTCTGCAATACATCTGAAAAAGCCCACAAACACCCTGTTCTGCCCCTTTTGTGACATTTTCGGGACCCTTTCAGATTCGGCGCAATGTGTGTGCAGTCGTGCACATGTTGAATACACGCAAATGACCGGGGTGGGGGGGGTGGTTTGCCTGTAATGGTCATTCTGTAGCCTCCAGGTCTAAAGGTCAGGCACTGTCAGGCTCCAGGAGTAACCAGAAGCCCAGCTATCACATGAACAGGCTCATCATGGGTCCAGCATTAAGAGCACTGTATGCAAAACCCACTGCACTCCCTTCCCCAGCTTTGATACCAATTGATGGTAGATACCATACATATTTAAACCAATTTTTCGCCCCCAAAAGGGATCCAAGGCCGGTGACAGAGGTCGCCGCAGTCAGGCACCTGCTGAAGACCCAGGGGCTCAGAAGTGCCCGCCAACATCAGAAATGAGTTGAGATCGTATTATACTTGCTGTTGCAATTTCCGTAACTCACCTCACTGCCTTCTCCCTGTTTATTGGGAGTGGTGCTTGTTTCGTTATTTGATGGTGGCAGACACTTCTGCTTGTTACAGGAGGCAAGCACTGGCTCTGTTTCGTTCTGTGGAAGAGAGACCACCATGATTTATTTCCCAAGATGCAACGCTTGGCAGCAGGCACTGCATTTTGGGAAATGCAATGTGGCAGCCACCGCCACAGAAGAACGCCAAGCCAGTGCTCGCCTCTCACTCCCGGGAAGTGTAATATGCACCGCTACCAATAAAGACCTCTGCTGGGAGGAGGTAAAGGAAAGTGCCAGCAGCAGCAGCAGCAGGGACTCTGAAGGGGAACTGGCAACATTTGACCTAGACAGGGGCCCATGTTGGTGCAAGGTAAGGGCCTACTACTAACAGGACCCACTCAAGCCTGGTGCCAGCCCAGAGTGGCTTAGAGATCAATACAAAGTTGATAGTTCCTGCCCTCAGATGTAAGGCAGCCAGCAACAACTGTGCTTCCAAGATGCAGGTGGGCCTTCTGAAAGCCTCTCCAGCCTAACCATAAAGCACCACAAATCGCCCTTACTGGATCAAGAGATCTCTCCCAGCAAGCCCCAGGCGCTCCTCACACAGCCGGCTCCGTTCCTCTTCGGCATCCAGGTCAATGACATGCACAGGCCGTGCCGCGCCAGCTTGCAGGAAAAGAAGAACGGAAAAGGTAAGATTAGCTATCACCTTCTGGCAGGACTTCCCCAAGGGCTGGCATCTTTTCTCCTGGCAACACGAGCAGGGGCAGGAAGCGAAGGAGCAGGAGGCAAGAGAAAGGAAGGTCACAGGAGCACATCACTTCTGCATTCCATCTCCCACTCCAGGGTGGGGTTGGAACTTAAAGAATAAGTGATGGGGCACAGGCCCCTCTTTTAGAACTCAGCATGGAATTATAAAAGTGAGCTTGCAGCTCAAGCGCCAGGGGCTGCAAGTCTGGAATGAGAGTTCTCGGATAGGAGGGAGGGCAGGTCCATGGTCTGGTTAATAATAATAATAATAATAATAATAATAATAATATAATAACAATTTTTTATTTATACCCCGCCCTTCCCGGTTCAGAAAACCAGGCTCAGGGCGTCTAACAACAAATTTAAAACACTTAATTGATGCAACAAAAAACAGCACAAAATACAGTATAAAACATGAATAACAATACATTCATGATTCAAAAATCAATTTAGGGAGGGAAATCCATCCAATAAACATTAGATGATCACTAGGGCTAGCTGGCTAAGTTAGTCCTATTTGGGCCAGTGAGGAGACCAGGGGAGAATTAGCTGTGGGATCCCAGAGCGGGTAATCTTCATAAAAAGGGGAGGGGAAGGGAAGGAAGGGGAATAAAAGATCAGGCTAAGTTCAAATTGAAAGCCAGGCGGAATAGCTCTGTCTTACAAGCCCTGGGGAAGGAAGTTAAATCCTGCAGAAGCCTATGGGATGAAGCCCCTTCCCTTTCTATGTTAAAGGGGCTCTGCATGTAGAAGGGGTGGCATGGCACAGCTCCCCTGCTATACGGGATCCCAGTTTGGATAAATGCCTTCAATCAGGCCACGGAAAGACTTCAAAATCAGTTTTCCTTCAATAAAAATCTGGCGTACCAAATTGTGTCCCTCTGCTGCCCTACGCCTCGAAACTTAACCAAAGACTTCTAGTAACAAAAGCGTAGCTGCTAACGTTTCAGTTCCGGTTGCGGCTGCGTTATAGACCGAATGTAAAAATTAAACAGATAGGAATCTCACTAGACGGCTTATCAGAAAATCCTGTGTTTGAGATAAATCAAACGCAGATGGCTAGACAATGAATTCCGAGAAGTTAGAAGCCAAATCAGGAATAGGACTGTGTGTGGCAAGTCCGGGAATGGCGCACGGTGGGAAGCCAATGGCGTTGCATCTCTCCCAGTTAACCGAGCCAGACCCATGTAGGGCCTACATGCTGGGGAGTGCAGTTGTCTAGACCAGGGAACTGAATGGGTGTGCATTCCCGACTGCTCAGGATCCCCCAACCGCCTGGAGAAGGGGGTGCCAAGGTGCTGCCTACGGGAGCATGTGCACCCACAGGGTCCCCCTCCCCACTGAAAATAGGTTTAAAAGAAGCATTCTACTGAGACCCAAAGAACAGTATGTGGTGTTTGCTGGGCTGTGGTTGCACACATGGGCATGTGAGTATTGCTGACCACAGTTTGCAAATGTGCCCATCAACACCAAAAGTCTGGGGAGCACTAGTTTAGTGGTTATGTGCATGTAGGCACCCGCAATGCAGGTCTGTAGACATCAGGGACAGCATGATGTTGGGGAGGGGCCAATGGCTCTGTCCCCCAAACAAGGACTTTGTTGCAGTTGCAACCCCCCCATCTTACCTTTGAGCCCCATGGCAGCCCTGCTCTGCCGACTGGAGCTGGAGCCGTATGCCGGTTCGGGCCGGCTAAGCGTATCCTTCTGGCGAGCCACGGCTACGGCGATGCCCACGGGAGGCTGGCGCACCTCGCCGTCCCCGTGTCCCAGCTCGTGTTCCCTGCTGCGGGCGCAGTCCGGGCGCTCCATCTCCTGCTGGCCCTTGGCGCCCAGGAACTTGCCCCCGTCCTGGTGGGCGCAGCTGCCCTTGAGGCTGCCTAGTCCCACGAAAGGAGCTTTCTGCCCCACGATAAGTGCTTGGTTGCTGTACTTCAGCAGGTTCTTCATGGCCGACACGTCGTCGGGCGGCGCCTGCATTTCCTGGGTGAGCACCGAGCCCTGAGTCATGAGCGCGGCCTGCTGGAGGCTGCTGCTGAAAGGGTCCAGGTAGGAGCTTTTCCTCTCCTCCACCATGGGCAAAGGAGGAGGGCCCTGGCCCTGCACCGGCCACGGCGGCAGGTGCGGCCCGTTGTAGCCCAGAGAGCCGAGCTCCATGGACTTGCGCTTGGACTCTGCGTGGGCCCCGGCCTGCTCCATCTCCGTCTGCAAGTGCTGTTGGTGGCGGATGCGGGCCACTTTCTGGGTGCCGTGCGTCGGCGGCTCCTTGGGGGCCTTGTCTAAAGTGCAGCAGGACTGGCTGAGTTTGCACAGCGTCTCCTGAGGGCTAGGCCGCGCACAGTCCTGAGGGGGCACCATCTCAAAGTGCCCGCCTTTAGGCTGGTGGGTTAAGCTCCCAAAATGGCCGTCGGAGCCCGTGCTGTTCAGGTACTCCAGGCCTTTGAGGCGGGCCGCGTTGGAATTCTGCGGCCAGTCCAGCCGCCGCTCGGCTTTGCCCTCCACCTTAAGGTGAGAGAAAGGGTGGTTCCCGTAAGGGGGTGGGTGCTCGGGGCCCACGTCGTGGGGGCGCTCCTTCCCCTCGCAGGGCTCAGAGGGCACCTGGAAGGAGCGGCTCTTGTCAGTCAAGTGGCCTACGGAAGGCACAAAGGTGGCTCCGCTGATCCGCAGCTCCCGGCCGGCCTTATCCTGCAGGGGGCACATCCCGTCAGGGCTGGAGTGGAGCTGCAGGCAGGGGAAACTCCCCGTGGTCGTGCTCAAGGCCGGGGGCCCGGTGGGCAGGCTTGACGGGACGGTGTAGGAAACCGAGTGGTGCAGCATCTGACGCCGCTCCAGGCACTCGCTGTAGGACTGGGGGGGCTCGTGGTGGCCGAGGTCCTTGGCACAGCGGCTCTGGGCTCCCGCGTGGCGTGGCATTATGCCCCCGCCGCAGCTGGGCAGCACGGCTTTGCCTGAGTCGCCATTCAGCACCTTGGAGCTCAGCAGGCAGGAGGGCAGGTGCTTGGGGCGGTTGTCGCAGGAGCCCCGCTGGGGAGCCCCTTCCTTGCAGTTGGCCTCGGGCGCCATGGGCATCCCCAGCTTGTGCCGCTCCTTGGCCGCCGCCTCCTCCTCGGCCAGCCGGTCCTTCCCCTCGCCCTTGGCCCCTTTGTCCCCCTTGGACAGCACAAAGCGCTCGTAGTCCTTGTGGCACTTTTGCCCGTGGCCCGCCTCCCGGTCCCGGCTGCAGGAGCCAATGGGGTGCCCTGGTGCGGCCCGGGCAATGCTGGGGAAGTTGTGATTGGCTGACAGTAGGGTGGGCTGAGCCGGTAGGTTCCGCAGGTAGAAATTGTCTGGAGAAAGAGGGAAAGTGGTTAGGAAGCGTCTCCTTCGAGAAATGATGCCCCAGGCAAACACCCCATCTCTTCCTCCCCTATAAATATTGATTGACATCCAATGCCCTTTTAAAATGTGTTGGGGAGCGGAGGGTTTTATTGGGTTCTTCTTTTTATTTGTATTGTGTATTTTGCATATTGTGGTTTTATGTTGTGAACCGTCCTAAGACCTGCAGGTATAGGGTGGTATAATAATAATAATAATAATAATAATAATAATAATAATAATATTATCCCCCATGCCTTGTTGCCCAAGCAAGTCTAAAGGTTCTAGCCTCTCCTGCTTGCATGCTGCAATAGCTCTCTTTTAGGAATTGTGCCACTTGCAAGGCAGAGACTAAAGATGTTGTGCTGGGATGGTGGCATTGGCCTCAGATGCCCTTCAGTCACAGAGAAACCAACTCCTTATTCCCTTCCCTCTCTGTGCAACTGCCTCCCAAATCTGTGCCCTTGATAAGGCGCCGGACTTCGTAGTGGTTCTTCTACCCCTTTAGAAGGGCGTATCTGCACGTTTCCCCGCAATCCCAACCATGACTCAACACTTGCCTTTCTGGCTTTCATAGAAACGGTGCTGGCCATACAGGACGTTGCTGTTTCCATGGTGATCCAAGTGGCTCATGGGAAGAAAAGTGGATGCTAAGCTCCCGGAGAACCTCGGGTAACCTGGAGCTAAAACAAGAGGCAGCGAGGAATGAAATGCTGGCTTCACAACACAGCGGCCGTATCGTCAAGCCCCTGGCTTGGGCCTTTAAGTCTGATCTGTCTCTATGTACCATAAATGTCAAAAGTAGACTGCCAGTGGTGGGTGGGTGTGGAAAGATATTCAAAACATTTGTTAAGACAGATTTTTATTATGGCAGTCCAAATAAACACCCAGTGCTCAGTGCTGGGAAATATCTGGCTTTCAAACAGCAAGGGGTGAATAGAAAGGTAGTCTGAAATTGTTGGTACCACAGCAGAAAACTCCTCTGGTGCTAGGCTGGGCTGAAGAAGCTCCCACGGGACTCTTTGGGAAGGGGGATCACATGAAACAAAGGCTGTTTGGGGGAATCAAAACACCCTATAGTGTGAGCACAAGAAAATCCTGATGAATCACTGGATTCTTCATAAAATTTAGCATGGAGATCTCGAATATTAGTCCCACAATTATGTGCAGTTGGGGGGGCAAAAAACCTCCGCTTGCCTCTTCACAAGGCTGGGGCATGCTCCTGTGCTTCAATAAATACAGTAGGAATAAATAAATCAAGTTCTGCACCAGGGTGACTAATTATGGAAATCAAGCACCTCTCTGTTTATTTGCAATAATTTATTTCACATCATGGTTTCAGCTTTACCAATAAATTAATAATAAATAATAATAACAATAATAATAATAACAATAATAATGCTTTGAGAATCGATAGAGAGAATGGATAAATGGGATTGGTAGAGGAGGAAATGTGCCGGTGGGGTCAGGCAATGAATAAGTGAATATGCCGTCTGGGGCAAATGCGGAGCTGCTGAAGGGATTGAAAATACATGCTCTCAGGCCCACACTGATGGGGTCTCTCTGCAGGCTAGAAACTTCTTCAAATATTAACTTGAATAGCCCAGATCTTAAAGGACCTGGAGCTACCATATGCACCTGAATCCATTCCTGTGCAGCAGTTACCAGAGAGGCATGAAATAAACACAGTCAATGACTTTACAACCTTTACTAGGATTGTATCCTCCTGGCTTCCTGCCAGTCTGTGTCTGGGTCAAGGTGTCAAATGCTGCAGCTAAGGATTTTACTTGGGAGGGAAGGCAGGGGAGAGCCAAGCGTTTTGATGGGCACCAAGGTGAACTGCCTGTTGCAGCCTTGACGAACGCTAGCTCTGGGTTTTGGATGTTAACGCTCAGGGGGACGTGGGCCCAGTTCCTGGCTCCTCCAGAGACTTCATCTGCAGTGACTTTAGATAAATACCTCAACTCTGTGCAACTTAACTCCCTCAGCTCAGCTCCCTCCTTAGTAAAATGAGAGCAATCAAGGGTGACACATCTCACTAATATTGTGAGATGGAACAGCAATGTGCATTTAGAAAAAAAGGGGAAAACTAAAACCAAACTAGAGATTTGGGGGAGAATACAGGAATGCTTGCTACTATAAGCACTTCAAAAATAGAACCTGCCTCTTGCTACAATTCACAGTAAGGAAACCAATTTGAAGGATTGGCCAAAAAGATGGGTGTTTAATATTGGTAGGATTAAACTGGCGAACACAAGAACAAAGTTTTTGTTTGCTCTGAGGGAAGAAAACTAAAAGTACCACTTAAAAAGTAAAGTGCCGTTTACTTTATTAATTTTTTGGGGGGGGGTGTGTGATAAGATCCGTGCGTTCAGCTAGACCAGCGTTTCCCAAACTTCGGTCTCCAGCTGTTTCCGGACTACAACTCCCATCACCCCGAGCTAGCAGGGCTGGTGGTTAGGGATGATGGGAATTGTAGTTCAAAAACTGCCGGTGACCAGAGTTTTGGGAAACACTGAGCTAGACAGTATTTCACTTTCTTTCTTTTTATTTAGTATGTTGAACTATATTAATAGGTATGTGAATGTCGTCCTGAAAATTAGAATGGAAAAGACTTTGCATTACTAAGAGCACATATACGTGTATATATATATGCCTGCAATTTATAGAGATGACTAATAATAATGAGAGCTAGCCCAAATAATCCCAACAGACATCTCCTCAGACAGTGTACACAGCAGAGTCCCAAGGAAAAGTTTTTCCACGCTCCTTTCGCTGGTGACTCACAGCTTCCCAGGGCTAGGATCTGAGCGGTGGCAATCACTACGTGCAGCGTGTCAGGCCAAGCCACCAACGGCTCCCACCCTAACCTGCACCCTTGTCTGAGCGTCGCCATTGTCTGTTTGACTCCTCTCTAGGAGAAGAGGCAGCCAAATCTCTCTTTATTCCTCTCTCTCTCTCTCTCTCTCTCTGTCTGCCCAAGTTAATCTCCCCAGTCAGCCACACACCAGCACTTTCAGCCCCGCTGCCCCACCCCCATCCACACACACACACACACCCCCGGACAGGCCGCCCGTCAGCATGATGCCGAGAGCATTGCCTGCACCCCGACCCACCCCCCCTCCCAGCAGCCCCAGCATGCCGGAAGCCAGCTGGCAGCCGTTCAAACTAGCAGTCGGGCTGGCTGCCAGGGCACCTTGCCAGCAGCACCTTGCCGCTCACACTTGAACTTTCTGCATCTCGCACGGAGGGGAGGATGTTGGGGGAAGGGCTCAGCGAGAGCGAGTCACCGCAGGAGACACAGAGGGAGAAGCGAAGAAAGCACACTGCGAAGAATTAGGGTAGCTGGAGTTGGGACGAGCATCGCAGCACGGCTGGGGCGGCCAGGAATGGGACCAAGGCAGGGAGGGAGGGGGTTCAAGGAAGACCTGTGGTTTGGGAGCAGAGGCGGCTGGGGAACGGGGGAGACAGGTTTTCTCTCCCCCCCCCCAGGGAGGGCTGTGGGTCACACATGAAACACAAAGGCGGGACTTTTCTTTCTTTCTTGCACCCACAAGCTAAGGCTGGAAGGAGAGAATAACTGGAGAGGGAGACTGGGAGCATTGGCTGGGAATTTGGGGGCCAGGATAAGGGGTGGTTTGGTGGAAGTGAGGGGCAGGAAAGCTGGGAACCCCACTGCAGCAAGTTCATTCTTAAAAGTATTTTCCAAGTTCTTCCTCCTTTTTTCAATTAAAAAAAAAAAAAACGGAAGGGAGTAGGGGGCCAGTTGGGAAATGTTAGGGGAATTCCTGCAGCTAAATAGAAGGAAAATGTTAGCTCACAAGTGAGAAGAAAATGCAAACAACCCCATTGTTCCCTCCTGCTTACTTATCCCTCTTCCTCTCTAGCACCCTGCCAGCATATATACAAGGGGAAGGCCCCACCTCTGGGCTTCCATGACAGGACAGTTTAAACAAGGGATGAGGGACCTTTGGACCACCAGATGTTGTTTCAATGTAGCTCCCATCATCCCTGACCAATGACCATGTTGGCTGGGGATGAAGGGAGCTGGAGTCCAGCAACATCTTGAGGGGGTGGCAGGTTCCCCAACTCTCATTTAGGGAGTTACAACTAGGCAGCAAGAGTTTCAAGCAATGGTGAGTAGAAAGAAGAAGAAGAAGAAGAAGAAGAAGAAGAAGAAGAAGAAGAAGAAGAAGACAAAGAGGAGGAGGAGGAGTTTGGATTTGATATCCTGCTTTATCACTACCCGAAGGAGTCTCAAAGTGGCTAACATTCTCCTTTCCCTTCCTCCCGCCACAACAAACACAGGTGAGTGGGGCTAAGAGACTTCAGAGAAGTGTGACTAGCCCAAGGTCACCCGGCAGCTGCATGTGGAGGAGCGGAGACGCGAACTCGGTTCACCAGATTACGAGTCTACCGCTCTTAACCACTACACCACACCGGCTCTCAAACAGATAGGCCTGGTCCCTGGGCTAGAATGTTCCTTTCTGACACTTTATTCCCCCTCCTTCCTAAGAATGGGGCATGCAATGATACGGAATTAAACTCGAGTCAATATTAATGAGGCCCATTCTCTTCCACAAATGCTGGGATCTCCCTAAACAAGGTCATGTATCTTCTGCAATTTGACATGCACAAAATATTCTATGGATGCCTGGTACAAAAATACTGGTCTTCTTCTTTTCTTTTTATTTCAAAGTCATGTTACTAGTCCTTGTGGTTGTGACAATATGGATGCCATTGTACCAATTCATCTTGTTCTGCCATCACAAAACTTGCATTTTTGAAGATACCATATACATAGAGAGACAGGACTGATATAAGAATTAAGGACATTTATATATACGTATTGGTTTTCATAATTTATTCTGTTAGCAGAATGTGAGCAGTCGAAGCACAGAATTCCAGCTCTCTTGGCTTTATTATTTGAACTTTTAATTTGTGCACATATAGAATACAGGCAGAACTGAGAGATTTATAGTTATTGAGAAGCACTGCTCCCCTCTTCCATGTGCTTCTGGATATTCCACCAAGGCAGCGTTGAGTAATTCCATCAAACCCCTTTACCTTCATGGGAGTGTGAGAACCAAATCTGGGAAGTGCCGGAGTGGGGGCCGCGGAAGGCCGGTTCTGATGGGGATGACGCCGGGCCTGTGGGATGTGGCGGTGCTGCTGAACCCAAGCTGCTGCTGAGGAAGCTGCCCATAAAAGATGAGGCAGGTGAGTTTCCCATCAACCCACTTCCTGCTAGATGCACACACACAAAAAAAGAGAGAAGGGAGAGGGAGGAAAAAGAAAGAGTGTCGGCATATGGATGGACCAGCATGAAGATCAGCAAACTTTCTACAGTAGCAATTATTGAGTTCTCGATTTGTCATAGGCTCATGGTACAGTGCGCTACTTTGCAAATAAAATACCTAAGCACTAATCTGAAAGCAACATTTATGCAATAGCACCATACATATTTTTGCTTAAAGACCTAGCTCATCATAATCGAATAAAAATCCTAGTTGATTGAAATGTTTGTCCCTGGAACCGGGCTTGAGGAGGAAAGAAAACACTTCCAGCAGATGTGAAGGCCCACCTACGTGCTTTTACACGCAGTGCCTGGATGCAAAAACACAGTTTCCCACTCAATCTGGCAAGCTCTGGTGGGCAAATATCATCTGCCTGCTGTCTACTCCAAGGAAGGAGTTGGTATTAATGTGAATCCCCATCGAAGACTTCTGAGAATCATAAACTGGATGCATCTCCTGAGCATGGTACCTAGATGCATACAAGCAAGGAAAGGCTGGGAGCATCCATTGCGACTAATAGTTGTGCATCTACAAGCTTATCAGGAAACAAATGGCTGTGGGTAAATGTGTCACTAGGCCTTGAAACCTGGGTAGTAGCTGGCACATATACAGAACCCTTTAATATACAAGCCCGTGACCTTGTCAGCACTCATACGTCAGCTCAACACTAGCAGCTTCTACGCAAATGTACCAGCCCTGCAGAACGAGCAAAGGAAAACAACCCAGACGCAACATATCGAGCACCTCCATTTCCATGTCCCGAATGACTCCAGGAAGGGAGAATTAACCATAGGGAAATGAACCGGATGGATGCAAGTTCTCCAGAAAGAAGTATTCAAAAATTGCTTGCTGTATAGAGTGCAAACATGCTCACAGTTCCTGTGAAACAACGCAGTCCTCCTACATTTTGAGTCAATGGCTCTCTGGCAATCAAGTTCCTTGCAACTGGGCCTCCAAACCACTGGAAAGAGGACCCCGTCTCATTTTGCAATACCTGTGGAGACACATCCCGAACCCACTTCCCCAGTGTAGCAAACCTTAAATGCAGCTATTGTCACATCAGCTAAGCACCTGAGGGTAGTGGAGCTCGACTTGCGCACCAGTCCATACCCATGGGAGCTGTGTGACGTGGGAGCTCTATGAGATTTAATAGCCTGCTCAGTGAAGAGAACACAGTTCATGGGAGGGAGCAGATCTTTTCATGTAAACCTGCATTACATTACTCGCTTACCTAGACAATGCACAGTGTTACTGCACAGGCCAGCCTGTGATTTCTTGCCAGAACTGACTCTAGAATAGTTTATTTAGGAAATACTATTAATCCATGGCTGACACTTGGGACTCCTTGTATTTACTGATCATGGCTGTATCTGCCCGTGAGATGACAGGACAGCTATACAGGTGTAACAGCACCTCTTGAAGGTGGTTGGCTTTTTCAGGGGTGGCTACTGCTCCAGGCCCTGCTAGGGCAAAAGACTTGAGCTAACAATGGAAAACTCCTCAATGCAGAATGTTTGTAAGCTTGTTCCCCTACTTTGCTTTTCTCGCTTCCAAGGCACTCACTGCAATGGCTTATCCAGCTCTACAGATACTAAAATCTCTCTCTCTCTCTCTCTCTCTCTCTCTCTCTCTCTGTGTGTGTGTGTGTGTGTGTGTGTCTGTGTGTCTGTGTGTTTTCTGGCAGGGTTTCAAATTCATCACCACCAAATTTCTGCCTGTGAAACAGTTGCTTAAGGTGAAGGGGAAAGCTTACCAGAAAAGATGGCAGCTCACCCGGCCAGGCCTGCAAATAGTGCTGTGCTCTATCTATGGGCAACGGTCCTAGACCTTTTAGTCATTACCCCTAGGTATTTGACGTGGGCGAGTGCCTGGTGAGGCATCCAGCCAAAAAGCAGGAAGTACTCCTCTCTTTAAGCCAGCCCACGCTCCCTGGCTAATCCCACTGGGATGCCTCAGCGATGAGTGTGGGGAAGTGGTTACAAGGGCAGGGCCAAGGCAGTTCTCCCCACAGCTGGGGTGGGGGTGGGAGCCTGATCACTAGCTAGGGAAGTCCCTTTCTGGACATGACATTGTGAAGAGACTAGGTCAGATCTGAGTAGGCGGCGGCGGCGTGAGAGAGCCAGCCCAGTATGGAGCTTTAAAAGCCTATCACTTTAGGCTCTCCCATAGGCTAAGCACAAACCTATGAGCACTAAGGAGATCCCTGGGGAGTTTCTGAGTCTCAGACCTGATCCAGAACTGCCCAACAGGGCCACAGACTTCCTTCCTTAAGGGATGCCCAAGCCCCATAAGATCCCTAAACTCCTGTTGAGTTTGACAAAAAAATAATTAAGTGACACCTAATTTTAAAATACTGTATTGGAAAAGAATGGGAGCGGCAGAGCTGTTTTTTGTTGTTTTGTGCATACCAACACCCCGCACCGCACCCCGAATATCTAAAAGCTGTACTATTGAACTCCTATTTCTTCCAGGTGGCGTTGTGTGGGTTTTTTTTAGAGGGCTCAGCTGGGTGATGCAGTCAGTAAGTAGAGAGGGCTTTGTAAGGTCAGCAGATACCGTATTTTTTGCTCTATAAGACGCACCAGACCACAAGACGCACCTAGTTTTTGGAGGAGGAAAACAAGAAAAAAAATATTCTGAATCTCAGAAGCCAGAACAACAAGAGGGATCGCTGCGCAGTGAAAGCAGCAATCCCTCTTGCTGTTCTGGCTTCTGGGATAGCTGTGCAGCCTGCATTTGCTCCATAAGACGCAAACACATTTCCCCTTACTTTTTAGGAGGGAAAAGTGAGTCTTATAGAGCAAAAAATATGGTATATAATTGCCCAGAACGTGGGAAGACACAAGAGTTTGGGCAGGAAGGAGGATGGGAAAGGAAATACTAGCGAGAAGCACTTCTCTTTCTAGCAGGAGTTACATATCTCCCTAATATTCAGGCTCAGCCTCAAATGTCATAAAGGAACCCCAGAAGAGGAAACGCAGCTCACTTGTGTCCCTGTCCCCCGCAATTCCATGCTGGAGCATCACAGTACGCCAGTGATTGTGTAAGCAAAAACAGATCCTCACCCCAGTCCTTGGAATCACCACTAAAGGGCTATCCTAGCTGAATTAAAACGCTGATCTCCCATTTTGTGCCTTACTATTGCTATGCTGAGCATTAAATAACATTAGATGACTGAGGGCTGATCAGGATACTAGAAGAAGAAGAAGAGTTTGGATTTGATATCCCGCCTTTCTCTCCCTTTAAGGAGTCTCAAAGCGGCTAACATTCTCCTTTCCCTTCCTCCCCCACAACAAACACTCTGTGAGGTGAGTGGGGCTGAGAGACTTCAGAGAAGTGTGACTGGCCCAAGGTCACCCAGCAGCTGCATGTGGAGGAGCGGAGACGCGAACCCGGTTCCCCAGATTACGAGACTACCGCTCTTAACCACTACACCACACTGGCTCTCACTACTTTCTTATCTTAATTTTAATGCCCGTCATTTCTTCCCACCAACATCTTTCTATATTTGTCTGAGATACCCATGCAGGTGGAGAAGGGAAGATTCTGAACACATGATTTTGTCTTATGTTTAAAACCAGTTACAGTATTTAATCTGACAGGAGAGGTAATAGTGAGGGTTTGCCAATGAAGGTGCATGGCAATAGGTTCATCTGCCTGATATCACTGTCAAATGGCCTTGAGGGCAGGTGGTTCCCATGTCTGTGAGATAGGTTAGTTGCCTGTTCTGGATAGGGTTGGAAGAATCATGTACGGCATCTAGGGTTCTCTCTGATCCACCTCTATCAGTAGAGGCCAAAGAGACCTCTGTGGCCAGGAGTGTTTGTTTTTTATAAGCTCTGGCTAGTACGCCAGCTGCAACTGTTCTTGGAATTGTCCAAACCGAAGTCCTTGTGTGGGCTTCTGCTGATGAGACTCACTACTTGAATCTCACTCTCTTGATGTGACACTGCTCATGTTTCTCCACATCCCCGAGGTTTGGTTTGCCTTTACTATAACGGCCCAACCTTCATTGCAGCAAGCTCTGCCCTGTGGAACTGCCTGCCAGTAGACGTTTGGCAGGAACTATCCCTGCCTTTCAGATGTCTTCTGAAAACTATACTATTTAGGCTGGCCCTTAAAACATGAGTGTCACTTCTTAGCTAACCAGTACTTACTGATGTCTTTATACAGTGGTACCTCGGGTTAAGTACTTAATTCGTTCCGGAGGTCCGTTCTTAACCTGAAACTGTTCTTAACCTGAAGCACCACTTTAGCTAATGGGGCCTCCTGCTGCCGCCGCGCCGCCGGATCACAATTTCTGTTCTCATCCTGAAGCAAAGTTCTTAACCCAAGGTACTATTTCTACGTTAGCGGAGTCTGTAACCTGAAGCGTATGTAACCCAAGGTACCACTGTATTTATGTTTTATGGGCATTCATAGTCTGGTTTTATTGCATTTTGTATGTTACCAACCACCTTGACACAAGGAAGTGCATATTATAAATATTTAAATAACAAACACACATTAAAACCACACTTTTTACAAACAAAAAACAGGAAACGTATTGCTAACACAATCTACACCTTAAGCGAGTGCTCTTTCCCCAAAATGTGATTATTATTTTTCTGGAGTCTGAAAGCGGCAGAAAACACGAGGGCAATGATTTGGTGACATTATAATATAGATTCTCTGTAAAAGCAAGTGAACAAGATGTGGTTATTCCAGAGTGAACAGCTAGCACAGAAGTACCGCTAGAACAATCCATAAATCAAGAAATCAGTACCAGGTTTAATTACCTCTCTCAATCTTGGAACTCAGAAGAGTGGTTGGGGCCAATGAGCACATGTGCACATGCCCAAACCCACTTTACATGGGCTACAGGCAAAACTGCTGATCGGCGTACAACTAGCCTGCTTGTAGAAGCTCCTGGCCAAATTCCCCCCCCCCCCATCACACACCTAGTATTAC